TATACATATTTTTCGCTAAAAAAAAATTTAAAAAATGGGAATGGTTTTTCAAAAAATTTTATTTTTAAAAAATCGTCATTTTTGCTGAAGTTTTATGTTCATATTTTATATATTTTTCTACCGATTTTGAAACGGAATACCATTTTTGAATCAGAAAACCTAAATACATCGATCTGCATCAAAAGTTAGAACAATTTAAGAAAATAAATTTTTCACCTTTTTTTGACCAAAATTATGATGTACCCCCTTTGAAAAATTGAAAAAAATCGATCAAAATTTTTGTTGTCAGGTTTTGATGCAAAAAGATTCTACTGGAAGTTCTAAGATCGGGAAGGTATAACATTCCTGAATCTGTTGAGTTTTTGGCAAGTTATGCATATTTTTGCGTTCAAAAATCCTAAAAAATTTAAAATACATTTTAGAGTTTTTTATTTTGAAAATGTGTCTATTTTTGATGTAGTTTTAACTTCATATTTAAGCTAATTCTCAACCGATTTTAAAACGGCATACCATTAAAGAGTCAGAGCTTTAATCCCCGTTGATTTTCATCAAAAAATTAAGAAATTCTTGAAAAAAAATTTTTGTTTAAATTTTGACCAAAATTGTGATGTACCCCCTTTGAAAATTTGAAAAAAAAATTTTCAAAACTCCATTTCCAGATTTTGATTGAAAGTGATTCTACTCAAAAAGCCAAGATCAGGAAGGTATAAGGCTCTTAAATCGGACAAATATTAGCCAAGTTATGCACATTTTTCCAATAAAAAAACTGAAAAAAAGAAAACATATTTTTGATGTGTTTTTAATTTTCAAAAATCGTAATTTTTAATTTAGTTTTAGGTGCATAATTTAGTCATTTCTCAACCGAATCTAAAACGGAATGCCATTAATAAATCACAGAACTTTTTCCCTTCGAACTGCATACAAATATAGGAAATATCGAGAAAATACATTTTTTTTCAATTTTTGGCCAAAATTGTGAGGTACCCCCTTTGAAATTTTGAAAAAAATTAGTCAAAAATTTGTATGCCAGGTTTTGATAAAAAATTATTCTACTGGAAGTTCTAAGATCGGGAAGGTATAACATTCCTGGATCTTTTAAATATTAGCCGAGTTATGCATATTTTTTGGTAAAAAAATTTGAAAAAAAGTGGAATGGTTTTTCAAAATTTTGGATTTTTCGAAAATTTCAATTTTTGTTGAAGTTTCATGTTTATATTTTCGACATTTTTTAACCGATTTGGAAATGGAATACCATTTATGAATCAGAAAACCAAAATACATTAATCTGCATCAAAAGTTAGAACAATTTTGAAAAATAAATTTTTCACCTTTTTTTTGGCAAAAATATGATCTACCCCCTTTAAAAATTATAAAAAATTTTTCAAAATTTTTCATGTCAGTTTTTAATTAGAAATTATTCTGCTGAGAAATACAAGATCGGGAAGGTATAACATTCTTAAATCTTTCTAGTATTACCCGAGATATGCATATTTTTGTTTAAAAATACCATAAAAAATAAAATCAATATAAAAATGAAATATTAATTATTATTAGGTATTTCCATAAACATTTATTAATAAAAAGTCATAAACTTTCAAAGTTGAACTCAAATAACCCTTTTTTTCAAGCTGTCACCATAAAAAACAGTAATTTCTAGTCTGAAAAAATCCCCCTATAAATTTTTATGATTTCTAATAAATTTTTTTGGACAGTGTAATAGTCACGTTCGCTATGGCTTAGTGCCCAATGCTTTGTGCTTCGTGCTTTGGGTTCACTGTGCTTAAGCATGCATGAAGCGAGTGTTCTGTTTTGTTTTTTTATTTTCTTTTTTTTTTATAGAAACAATATCTTTTTTTTTTTTTTAATGAACAAACTTTTGATGTCTTCCCCTGGCCAGAGAATCCCCCCCTGCTTTTTCTTTTGGATGCAGGGCGTTTGTTTGTTTTGTGGATTTCTGTTTCGTTGGCTTTTATTTTTTTAAATATTTTTTGTATTCTTTGTTTTATTTAGACCGTGTTTATGACACTCGACTGGACTAGCGGTTAACATAATTAGGTTTTCCGCTAAAGTATCTAGAATTTGAGAGAAAGCCTTGGTGTTTGAGGAAAGTAATTGAAAATAGAGAGAGAAAGCAATAGAGATTATTGTTATTTTTTTCAGAGCCTAGGGCTAATCAAAAACCACTTATAGAATATAAATAGATATTCTTATCCTAAGGACTAAGCTTTATCTTTATTTTCCGCATTTTTAAGTTCTATTTTCCAATTTCCATTTAAATCACCCCTATATCACCAAGTTACATGAGTTAGGATCATCTTAAACCAAAAACCCTATAACTATACAACCTTTTTTAATTATTTCTTATTAAAAATATATATATTTAAGATAATTAATCACTTTCCTTCTTCAAATACCTTCCATAATCATATAATTTATTTTTTTTGTAAAGTGATGACAACCCTGAGACATGCAACATTCGGCGACAGACACCATAGACTGTCTCCAATGAGGGGGTGGGGTGGGGGGTAGTGAGCCAAATGTCAACCAACTCAATTATACAAATATTATACAAACATTAGAATTGCATCAAAATAACGAAGGATATTTGTCAAGGCACGAAACGGAACCCTTGGCGAGGCGGAGAGGCCACAACACACACCCCACTGACTCTGAAAAGGGAAAACGTGCCACACTAACTGAGCCTTGGCACACTCATTTCATTCCTTTGTTGGTTGGAAGATATGGCGGCATTGGCGGTTTAGCCAATCAATAACACTAGGCAGCAAAATATAGGGGTCTAGGGTCAAGGGTTGCTTGGGGTTTGAGGATTTGGTTGGGGATTTTAAGAACTTGTTGCTGGTAGATCAGAGAATTTTCGGGTTTTTGGGCTGGGAGGTTTTTCAAAAAAGATAGAAGAGTCTTTCTAAGAAAGGTTTCTATTTATTTGGAATTTTAGAAAACTTTCCCAGTTAGAACCAGTTGAGAATTATAAGAAGAACAAGGAAAAAAAGCTTTGTTTTTGGTATTTAAAAAAAAAATTGAAAAAATACAAATATTATGACTATTTTTAAGAGAAATAGACCAGATATTATAATATCTTAACAGGGTTTTCAATTCTTTAGAATCCTAGAAACCTGTTTTGGCTAAAACCAGTTGAGAATTATAGAAAAAAAAGCCACACACTTTAGTATTTAAAACTTTTGTACGAAAAATTAACATATTTTTTAATAATTTGGACTATATATTACGACTTTATGTATATAATAATAGCTTAACAGACTTTTAAGTTCATTAGAAGCCTAGAAACCTCTCCAACTCTTGAACCAGTTGAAAATTATAGCAAAAAATAGAAGAAAAAAATTGAATAATTTTAAGTATTTAAAACTATTTCAAAAAGTATAAATTTTGTAATAAATTTCCAAAAGAAAAGACCTTTAAGACTATTTATTCTAAAAATCTACTCGTAAATCCCCCAAAATCTCAAGAACCTTAAACCCAACTCTATAGTGTACCCCTGTCATAGTTTCTATTTCTATTTTTTTTATATTTTCTATTTTTTTGTTGTTTAGAGTTCACTGTTTGCAAACATCAAGGTGAAACCCGTAATGCTAATACTACTAATGCTAATGCTAATGTCAGTACCGGGTGGTAATGGTAATGGTAATGGTGTGGTGACTCTCTAACCTTCATCAGGATTCTTGGCCAACTTTTGTGTCTTTTGCTACTCTATAGCCGCCTGGCACTGATTAGAAAAGTCATCGGGTCACGTGAATGAACTTAAACCCCCCAAAAAAAAATATATATAGAGAAAATAAATATTTCCGCTTTTCATGTCAGCGGTAAATATTTTCTTTTTTGCGCACTCGACGCCAATCAATTTCAGTACAGTTTATGATTATTGTTTATCACCGAGTGCTATATATATATATATTATATTATATTGTTTGCTTGGCGATGTCGCGTGTCACATTCAACGAGAGTCCCCTTTTTGGACACAACTATTTGGTAAAGTCCTCCACTCCCCATAGATTCCCCCATAGACCCCCATTTGATTTTTATATAATTTGTTTCGCATTACAGTTGACGATTGCGGCTTTGGCGGTAGTGTGAAAACAATTAGAACGAAAGCAGTCTGTGGTTTTAGGATTTTTGGGGGGGTGATTGCATAATCCAACAATAATCCACAAGCCCAACAAACAAATCGGTGCAGAGGACGCCGGTCTGACACTGAAAATAACCTAGCAATTGCAATTCCGGAAAAGTAAACACCATTTCCAAACTAAATCATATTCGGGAGGGATTTGTTTGGTCTTTTTAGGGGGATTGTAGAGTATATAGGGTTTTAAAAGAATTTATGTCATAGTAGGGGGTTTATCAGTAAAAAAATTAAAAATACTTAAAAAAAATTTTTTCTTACTCGTGCTGCAATCGAACCTGTGTCTTAAACATGTCCTAACATGCTTCTCTCACTCCAAGGTATAAATATGAGCTTTTCTTGCCTTGAATCAGAAAGTGTAGGGTTCGAAAAATGCCTATTTTTTAGTTTTTTTGGATAAATTAATTTTCTTTTTCTATTAATGCCATTAATAAAGCCTTTTTATCTTTAAATAAAAAAGTGTAGAGTTCGAAACGCTCTTAAATTGTACTTTTTAAGACGTATTACTTTATTTTCTTAGTTTTCTTAGCTAATATGACCTTTTCTAGCTTTGAATCCTAAAGTATGGAGTTCAAAACCTGCCTATTTATTTATTTTTATAAGAAATTAATGTTTCATCTTAGTAACTAAAGTTTACTAAACTAAAGTTAACATAACTAAAGTTTTTTAAGCCCTAAATCAGGAAAGTAAAGAGTTCAAAACTTAATGTCTCTTTAATTTTAAAACCACTTACTATTTTTCTTAACTTCTAGAGTATTTAAGCTTCGACTTCAGCCCGAGGTGGAGACATTCCTTCCTCGCTTATATTTATACCGATTGACAAACAAACAAAGCCCCGATCATAAATCAGCCAAAAAGACAATAAACTACAATACTTCATAACATCTGGGGCTCTGGCTTATGGGAATGTGATCATCAGATAGACTTGCTTGGTAAGGATATTGGTGGATTTTAGTGCTTGGCAAGCTACTGGCTACTGGGAGAGACAAACAAGCGCCAGATGTCCTAGTCTTCTGGCGTGATGGCATTAAGGACACAAACAAGACACTTCACTACATGGGCGAGCGAGATGAATATTCAATGAGAATTTTTAAACTTTTTTTAGATTTTAATACCAAACTCGGCGACGAAAAAGTCGCGCAATTTCAATCTGGATTTCTTGGGCTCCTCGCGCGGATGATGGACCGTGATCTGGTCACCGTCGGCGGATATCATCGTCTCGCTGGGCGGCGATATCGAGTATTGTTGCAACAGACGTCGCTGCTGTTCGGTGAGATCGTCCAAGGGATCATTAGATCCCGAACCCGATATCGATATTGAACCAGAACCAGAACCAGAACCGAAACTTGGATTAAATCCTGAACCAGAACTACTGGCTGTGGGTGATGAGGCGTTGACGGCAACGGATGCGGCAGCCACCGCAGCAGCAGCACCACCGGCAGCAGCCAATTGCTGGGCAATGAGCAGCTTCTGGGCGTGCTCTTCGGCCTCTTTTTGCTTTTTGAAGTCTTTTTTTTTTTCATACATACATACATTTATATATATATATATTTAAGGTATATAAGGTTATATAGAGTAGGTGTATATAAGGTCGGGAGAACTTAAAAAAAGTAAACACACAACAGAGCGAGCGGGAGGGAGCTAACAGATGGCAGTGACAGTAAAGTGCCCTAAAAATTCAATTTGCCAAAATTTGAAAAATGAAATTTTTGGTGTCCTCACAATGCTGCCACTGACGTCATACATACATACATACACATATATACACCAATATTAATGACATTTTTTGGGTAAGAATACTATTGTTGTTGGTGGGCTGGCTGGCTGGCTGTACCCTGACCTAGCCCACTCAATGACCTTGAAACAACGTTTGGCTTGGCTTGGGCTTGGGTTGGGTTGAGTTGCCTAACCTCCCATCCCACCCCATCTAACTCTATCATCATCTCACCCAAATATCTGTCCCGAGTCTCTCATCCAATTTGTCATCCAAGTTTTGTTTGGAAAATACAGTAGAGACTCGATAAAAGTGTCAGAGTCTTAAATAAGTAAAGAGTTCTAAGCTTCCTAATAGGTTTTCTTTTACTTTTTTTTATTTAAAATAGAATTTTATTCTGGCAAGTTTCTTAAAAGCGGGCAGTTTTCTATACAATTGCCTATATTAAATATTAAATATTAAATTTTTAATTTCTGTTTTTTTCTTTCTTTTTTTGTTATTTTTAGTGGAAAAATAAATAAATTGGGTTCTAAAATTCCTAATAAAATTTAATTTTTGCTTTTTTTATTTAAAAAGTCTATTTTTATATTTTAATCTTAGAAACTTCCTAAAAGTGGGCAGTTTTCTATACAAATGTTGTCATTTAATGTTTAATATTTAAGATTTAATTTCCAACTTTGATATATGATATGTGAATCCCCTCTCCTCTTAGGCAATTTTCACTGTACTTGGGTCATGTCATCTTTTGGTTAGAAGGAAAAAAAAATAAAATAAACTAAAAGTGAAACCAAAAAACAGAATCAGAGAGAGAGATAGAGAAAGAGAAAGAGAGAGAGGGAGGGAGAAAAAAAAAACTCATTGCGGAAATGGACAAAAACCGAAAAGCGCAATGTTCAAATGCAATTTCCCCGTCAGCCGTCAGCCAAAAGCCCCTAGCCACGATCCCCCCTCCCCCCCTAAGACTAACACCCACCATTACCACCCACCGACTCATCTTCGACATTGGCTGACACTTGCAAAACGAGACAAGCGCTAAGCGGCTTAAGCAGCAACCCTCGGAGATGTTGCCACCGATAGGAGAAAGCGCCACACAAGAGGGGGGAGGAGGGTGGTAGCAGGGTGGCAGGGAGGTAGGGAGGTTGCAAAAATGTAAACTATTTAGCGCTTTTACGCTTTCCAGGAAGGTTTCATGATGACGCTGATGACACAACCCCTTGCCGAAGATATCTAAGCTTAAGTACAGTAGTTATTGGTTTTCAAGGAAAATTATTAATGTATTTTTTAAATTAGTTTTTAAAATCAGGAGGTTATAAAAAATGCATTATTTCTGATTATTTTTTCAGTTTGTATTCTTTTTTAAACATCTTTGTTTTTTATTTTAAAACAAAGTGCTTGCTTTAATTATAATAAATCTTCATTGTTTCTCCATTTTTTAAAATTAATTTCCGGTTTTTTAAATGACTCTTAGAAGGCAGGCAAATAAAACAACAAAAAAACAAGACAAGATTTGTGATTAAATTTTGAAAAAAACAGAAAACAAGCCATTTAAAACATAAATTTAAATAAAAAAATAAATAAAATTTTAAAAATTCGATCTACGAACATTTTTTTAAGGACTAACTAAAAAAATACAAACAAAAAAAATATTTTAAAATATTCCTTTAAAAACATCGATGTCCTTAGCCAATATCTACTGTTTGGTCCTGCATAACTAGAGATGGTCACGTGACACGCGATCTCCAAAAAAAAAAGCTGTCTCTAATAACGGTAAACGGTATCCTCTTATCAGGCTCATGTGACTCCCCAATGCTTCCCTCTCTTGGCTCTCTCTCTCTCTGTGTCGATATCGCGGCTCTCTCTTTTGATGGCTCTTTTGAATCACCCGCATTATCAGTATCAGTATTTCGGTATCAGAGGCGATGACGTCATTAGAATCGGCCAAATGTTTTGCAATAAATGGGATATGGAGAGGAAGCAAGGAGCGAGAGGGAGATGGGGCCACTAACAGAGATCGGTCTGTAAGCGTTATGTAAAAAGGCTAATGAGGAGGAGGGAGGAGAACGGCAAGACTTGAATGTAAAGCGCAGTTTGTTGTTCTTTTTGAGCAGAAGCAATGAAAATCAATTAAAATTAATTGATTCAAGAGTCAAATTCAAATGGTCAAAGCGGCAACGTTGGCGGCATGACCAAGGGGGGATAGGGGTCGGGGGGCGCGATAGAACTGAGGCTGCAATTTAAGCGAACAATGTGCAATAATTAGAAAATGCAATAGCCGTTCCGGCAAGAAGCTCTCTCCCGCTCACACACACACATACACACACACACACAAATAAATAATAATTGTAAATAAATAGGGTGAAAGGTTAAAGGGGAACGAGTGGGAGGGGGGGTGGTACATGAAAATGTAAACTTACTTTCCAGCAGCCTCTGTATGAGACTGTCCACGTTTAGATCAAAATCGCCCATTTTTTAGCAGCTAAAAAAAAAAAAACAAAAAGTTCTTGGCCGCGTTTTTGTTGTTGTTTTTATTGTTGTCTCTTTCAGTTGTTCTTGTGGCCAGCTGTTCCGTTTGCAGGCCAGAATTCCGATTGGAACGTTTTTTTTTTTTTTTTTGGCGCAACAACTACACACACGCACACCACTCACAACAACACGCACGCACAAAACGCACACAAACACAGCGGGTTACTATTCTATTTTCCGTATTTTATACGTTTTTTTTTTGTGTTTTTTTCTTGTTGTTTTTGTTTGACGAAAATTCTTCGCTGTACTGCAATTTGTGTGTCAGTGAAGTGCCGAGATGCCGCAAAAGGCAATTTCACTTTTTTATTCTTCTTTTGGCTTTTAGCTTTTTTTTGTATTATTTTGTTTGGATTTTTTTTTTTCTTGAGGAGATCTTTGCCAGGCGGCCGCTGCCAGTCGTCGTTTGTTCTCACAGAAAAAAAAATTTTGTGATATTTTATGTTTGACACACGCCGCACAATTCGATCCGGTTCGGAATCGGAGTCAGAAACAAGTGAGGTTCAGAAATGTAGTCGTCGGCTCGATAGCACTGAGAATTTGTTAGCCACTGCGGTTGCCCGTAATTTCTGATTTCTCCTCCGCCAAAAACAAAACTCGACAGCAGGGACGTCGAAAATATTTATTCTTATCGAAGTATCGATAGGTGGAATATACATCGGCTGAAAAAATCGTCTTTTTGTTCCTCTGGTATTTTCAATTTGGTCACACTTCGTGTCGTATGCAGTTGCGCCAGAGCGCCAAATTCAAATTCCGGTATATTTTGGCAAAATTAATCTTAAAAAAAGCGGGGTTTTCTATATCATTTATATACTCCTTATATTCTATAGGGTTTTTATATAAATCGATGTATTTTGCTATCTAGCTAGAGATTTTTAAGAAAACTTGGTTTAGTGCGACCTTTAAAGGAAATACTTAAAAACTATCGATATCTTTTGCGGCGATATTTGAATTTCACTGAATAGTTTTAAGTAAGACTTGGAAATAAAAAAAAACTTGCAGCCACAGGTTATAGAAATTTTAACAGAAATATGCAAGGGTTTAATTAAAAAAACAATTTTCTACCGGCTATTTAAAATATATCCTAAATAAATACTGAAAAATACTGTTTAACCAATTTTGTTGATTTCCAACACTGTTAACCGCGCAAATTGATGTTTTTTGTTTTTATTCTTGTTTACCATCCAACAGCCAGCGGAATGAACTATTTTCCCAATTACTATTCCATTGAGGACATTTTCGTTACCCAGGAGAAGGTAGAATGTCGGGTGAACACCAAACTGCAGCGTATGGGTATGTACTTTACTTGCATCTTGAGACAGGCTTCTTGAAAATAACAAGGATTTGTTTTCTAGGTTTCCTCGACTCTGGTGCCGACACGGATGACCTGGAACCGAACCGCACAGTCAATCTGCCCCTCTGGTACATCAAAGAACTCAAAGTGAACAATGCCTACTTCACGGTCTCCATACCGGAGATCTACAGAAACGTCCACAAGGCCGTCTGCGAGGCGGAGACCACTCACATCGAGCTGGGTCGCCTGCATCCCTACTTCTACGAGTTCGGTCGCTATTTGACGCCCTACGACCGCAACCATGTTGTGGGCCGTATCATCTTTGAGACGCTGCGCCAGCGAGTGCGTCACCTGCTCGACATCTCGAAGAGCGACAGCAACCAGGCCAAGTCGGAGCACCGTTTGGACAACATCGAAGCCAAGCTGCACGAGGCGGGAGTGCGCACCAATAGCCAGGTAGGAGTATCTCCATCTTTATAGTTGGTTTTTGGTTATAATCCTTGACTCTACTAGTACATCGACTGGCTGCAAATGACGGGCAACAAGATTCGGATCTCGCAGCTGGTGGAGGAGCACCAGAAGAAGCGACGACGTGCAGACCGCAGTGACGACGAGGGCGATAGCCTGCCCAACAGTAAGCGAGCCACCCTGTAACCCACAAGAGGCAGATACTTTGTTCAATCGGGGGGCAACTGTAGCAACTTTATTTCAACCCGTGGGGCAGTGCCCGCACTCCAAAAATACACTCATTCTACTACATGCATTCTATATAGTTCAAAATACATACGCGCCGGCATACATCTATATATTCGTATTCTGTGTGTAAACAGTTGTGGTATATAAGTTGTGGGTTAAGTTTTTTGTAAATACACATAACTAAGCATCCGGTTCGGGGTTCCGGTCTTAAATTAAATCTTTCTTTTCTTTCGACCTGCCTGCCTTCCAATAATTGCTCAACAATCCGTTTCCAAACATTAACATCGCGCCAATATAGTATATATAATATATAGATGTTTTGTATATTATTACATTTAAATAGTTAACTACATATATATAATTACAATGTTGTAAGCTCAATTAAAATTTGATTTTGTGCTTCACATAGATTCCCATGTTCCAAGCAACCAATAGGACATTCTTCGATCGAGGATGAGGAGGGACCGCATTAAGGAAGTTTCTGTAGTTTTTTTTTTAACTAAAATTATAGTTTTGATTTTGAAATAAAGGCAGTAAACTGATTCATTTGTGCGGTTATTCAGTTTTTCAAGTCTAAAAGCGACTTGAGAGCAACGTATACATTCTGTATCTGGTATTTGGAATCGGATGGGTTTACGGTCCCCAACTATAACACTCTCTAATCGCTCTCTAATCTCTTCTACTACACAATCTCAACAGTTCTCAAGGCTTTGCAAATGCACACTAAAGTATTTCCATTTTTCATAAATCTACAACAGTTTTTCATACATTTTTGTTTTCTTTTTTTTGTGGATTTTTTAACATAAGCATTAGCAATAATTGAATGCAACATTTATTCAATAGTTTATGGTTAGGGGGGGGGGAGTGGGGTATATAGTTAATAGTTTATTCGCTTCCCCTGCGTTTGGTTTTCTGGTAACTATAATTAAGCTTTGTTCTTGGTTTCACAATTATTATTCTCATTAGTACAATAGTGTCTTTTTTTTAAAAACTAAAGTTCCATCCCAGGTTCAGCGTTCGTTGTTATTCGGGGGAGGGGGGTGAAGGGGAGTTAGAGGGGATCAAGGTCTGTAAACAATAAGCAAGGACTTCGCTAAACGGAAGCCACTGGCTGGAACTGCGCCTCAAAATAAATACAATTCTTCTTCAAAAAATTATATATAAAAAAAAAATAAACAATCTGATTTTAGTTTGCACTTGGTTTCCCATTCAACAGGTGGGCGGCGGCTACGGTGGGCATGGGCGTGGTCGCGGGAAGAGCTCCATTGGGCGGCGGTCGTTGTTTCTTCTTTGGAAGGAAGACCTGAAAGCGACAGAGACGGCCAGAGATTAGTTTTCATCGAAAAGAGGGGGACAGCATGAAGTGTAATGGCACCTTGAGGGCTCCCATCACCATCAGGTGGAACCAGTAGAGCTGCGGCAAGAACAGAATGGCGATGCTGACCAGACAGCCACGCGGGAGACCGCACATGGCCGACCACAAGGAGGCCGCCTCAATGGCCAGGCTGTAGCGCCACATCACGTACGGCCACATGCAGACGCGGCACACAAAGAAGGTGGCCAGCATGAGGAGGCCGTTGGCGATGTAGACCCGCGACTCCTTCAGCCTCATGGTGCTCAGGATGCTGCGTAGCGAGACGAACGGTGTGGAGAACTCCATCATGAACATGTAGCTGTAGATGCAGTGGCCACCACCGCGGATGTACTGCAGGAGAAGGTAAATATTATGTAATGGTAACAGCTTGGAGAGTAATCCCTTACCGTCACCACCAACAGGCCGAAGGTGCCGATAAAGACGTGATGGATCATCATCACCGGATGGGTCAGCACGTACTTGAGGAAGTCCCAGCGTCCGTCTTTGGGTATCTGGACACAGGCGCCGTCGTAGTCGCATATCTCGTGGGGAGTACCCGGAGTACTGCCGTTGTTGTTGCCGCCGCTGCCGTTGGAGGAGGACCTGGCCTTGGCATGGCCATTACTCAGTTCCGCCTGACCGGCCTTGGCCTTGGTGAGGCGCAGCAGATGCAGCTTGTCGGCTATCTTCTGGGTGTGGACCTTGTACATGGACCAGATGTCGTACATGAAGTAGGCGGTGCCGAACCAGCCGTAGGCCTCCATCAGGAAGTGGGAGGCATAAACGAAGGATTTGGTGCAGGTGGACTTGCAGACGATGAGGCCGACCAGGAAGGAGAAGGAGGCCTGTATGGCGGACACGATTCTGCAAGAAGGATGAGGTAGAACATGGATTAGAGATCACCAATGACACAGGATCCTAGGTTTTAAAAAAAAAAACAGAGTTGCCAGACATGGAGAACTATCGGAAAAGGATCTCTAGGCTTTCAGAGTTGCCAGAACTATCGAAAAATATCGATAAATGGCAAAGCCAACAATAAAAAGGTGAATCCCAGCTAAGCTTTATAAAAAACCGATTTTTTTTATGAAAAAGGGTGCATGGGTCAAGGTCAGGTCAGATCAGAGCCGCATCTTATGCATTTTTTGTCAAAAAAAAAAATCAGAAATTAAATCCAAAAATTTGAAAACTTTAGCTTTCGACAGCATCCAGTTGTTCACCGGAAATAACTCAAAATTTTAGGTATCCAACTCGAAGAAGTCCCATCTAACCAACCCAACCAGCCCCATACCCCGACGGTTTACCCATGGAGTCCAAGGACACCGGACAGGAGAAGACGATGCGCCAGTACTTGGCCGACCTGGTGGAGGGCGGCGCCTGTCTGGATCGGATCATGACGCAGGGCTTGGCCACTGGTTTTCCGGCCATGGCCACCGCCGCTGCCGCCGCCACCTCTACCACCTCTGGTCACCCCTCCACCACAGGATGTGGTGGCACCGCCCTCGACACCAACACCTCCCGGTGTACCCTGTTCGATCAGCTGCTGTGCGGCAACTGCCGGAAGGCGGAACGCATGCTCGTCCCCGACCTGGCCACCGAATGGTTCCGCAAGCAGAAGGTCTTCCTCGACAAGCTCACGCCCGAGGAGCTGGCCGAGCTGGGCGACGGCCTCGCGGGACGTGAGACTTGCCGTTGTCCTCGCGGTGACGCCGCCGAGGTACGGCTGGGCCAGTGCCCGTGCAAGCAGTGCCGCTGCAGCCTGGAACCTGGCCAGGATTACTTTCGTCGTCGCCTACTGCCCGTTCGAGGCAACTGCCGGCCCCACTGCGGATGCCCAGCCAGTCCCGAGGAGGTGGAGACGGCCAAGCAGGCAGCGGCAACGGCGACAGCGGCGACTGACCCTCTGGTAGCCACTTGTGTGCCCACGCTAGAGACCCGATCCCGCAATCCCTTCCTTCTTTGCAATCCGGATGTCGCCACCTGTGACGCCGACAAGAGGCGCCTGGACGGAGGAGTCACCAAGCCTCCCCCGCCGGCAGGCAGTTCCACGGCCCCTGCGGCCTGTTCATCCACGCCGGCGCCACCGCCAGCCGGCTGCTCCTGCATGCGGGGCCGGAGTCACGCCTCCTGCGGCTGCCTCTTCCAGGCGGACGGCCAGCCGATGGCCAGCGAGTGCGTGGCGGCGCGCCGGACCGAGCCACTGCTGCCGCGACTGCGCAGGAAGTACGACCTACGCCAGTCGCCGCAGCGGCGCCTCGATCCGGCGCTCTTCCGCCGCATCTCGCCGGAGTTCTTCCGCATCCTGGCCAGCTACGAGGCCACCGTGACCGAGAGCTGTCCCCTGTACGGCATATCCATGCGCCATTGGAGCGAGGGCACTGTGTGCTGTCCCTGCGAGCAGCGTCCGCCGGGCACCGGCCAGCAGCGTGCCCTGGGCGACGATGCCGTGGCCACTGCAGTGGTCACTCCATGTCGTCCTCCGGTCGAAGCGCCAGCCAACGAGGAGCCGGCCGAAAGGAAGGAACGGAAGAAGTGCACGCCCCAGATGTGCCCGCTACTGAAAGGATCCACCACCTGCATCTGTCCCAAGTTCAAGGAGAAGAAGGGTAAGCAGGGGGAGTCCACCACCCACTCGTCCAGTCGAGGAGTCAAAGATCAAGAGGACAGTAAGAGCAAGAGCCGCCAGCCAGGATCTAGCCGGAACCGGGGAGCAAGCAGTGGCAGCAGGCAGTCCAGCAAGGATCGGAAAGCTGGCCGTGAGGGAAAGCAATCCAGCAGGCAGTCCAGCAAGGATCGGAGAGCCGGCACTGAAAGACAATCCAGCAAGGATCGGAAACCTGGCCACGAAGACCGGCAGTCCAGCAAGGATCGGAAGGCGGCCAGAGGATCGCAAGGAAAGGAATCCAGCAAGGATCAGAGACCAACCAGCCAGGATCGCGATCAGGATGAAAGATCACGACGATCTCCCACTGGTCCGGCCGACTTCTCCCGGCAGGGACAGAAGAAGATCCTGTTCACAACGGTGGGCGGTCCCATGCAGTGCACCGCTTGCGTCCACCGCCCCAAGGGCATCCTGGGCGGCTTCACTGGCCTCTGCAAGCGATGCGCCCAACCCGGACGCCATCTACTCTACTACCTCAACCATCCGCCCAACCAGAGTCGCTTCGGAAGCCAAAAGTGTCCATGTGCCACTACATCGAACCAGGAGAACAGCGTCCGACCTCCCAGGCAGCCGCTCTTCTGCACCAAACCGTATGCGTGGAGCAAAAACAAGTCACGCCAGGCGGAGATGGCGCCGGACTTGGAGAGTGAGCGGTCGGTGGAGGGCAGCAGCACCACCCTAATGCCCGATCCGGAGGGCAGTGAGCCGTGCGTGCCCTGCCGGACTCCAGCCAGTGATCGCACTCTGGCCGGCTGGAATCCAGCCCCCTCGACGCACTGCAGCTGCCCAGGACGCACCATCATCTGCCGGTGCCCGGACGAGCAGACGAAACTATTCCAGTTTCCTCAGACCAAAAAGAAACCCGAAAAGGATTACCAGAAAGAGTTCGAAAGTGATTCCCAAAGCGAACCCGATAACGACACCAAGGAGGAACCCCAAAAGGTGTCCACGAAGGAACCTCAAAGGAAGGAATCCAGGGAGTCGGCAAGGACTAAAAGGAACCAGGAGAAGAAGAGCTTTCTCTTCCATCAAAATGGACCTCGCCTGACGGAGATGGATTATTCCGAAACAGAAGATCCTGGCCAGCGTCAACCATCGAAGGAATCAGTCACTGAGGCTCGAAGGACCAAAAAACAGGAAAAGAGAGAGGACCCCCAACAGGAGCAGAGAGAGGAACCCCAACAGGAGCAGAGAGAGAAGCCCCAAAGAGGAGAGAAAAAGAAGACCCCACAAGAAGAGAGAAAGAAGACCCTACAAGAAGAGAGAAAGAAAACCCTACAAGAAGAGAGAAAGGCATCCCAACAGGAGCCGGAAAAGGATACCTCCTCGGAGGCTCGAAGGACCAAAAACCAACAGAAGAGCAAGGAACCCCAAAAGGAGGAGAAAAAGCCCACCCGATCCATATGGAAAAGGAAACCTCCTGCAACCAAGCCCTCCACTTCAAGCAAATCTCAGAAGAACGAGAAGGAGGAGAAGCCAAAGCCCATCTCCAAAAAGGAAACCCGCAAGAAGGAAGCCAAGTCGGAAGAATCCACCAACGAAACTAAAAGGAACGAATCCCAAGAACGCGTCTTGGGCTACCAGAAGGTGGAAACAATGGAAACAGAACACCACATGGATGAAAGCCAATCCCAAGAGTCAGGACAACCAGCCAGCAAGCAGGTCAAGACCCCACAGAAGAAGGAGGAGAAACCCAAAGGAAAAGCACTCAAGGATCGGGCCACTGAGCCATCCAGTGAGTCAGAGTGCCACAGGAAGATCTCCAACGAGGCCTGTTACAGCAAGTGCGGGTATTTGCCGAAGAGTGCCTACCTGATCAACGACTTCCACCAGTTGATGCGACGCGTGGCCAGGCCGAGGCCCAGTGCCGAGCGACTGCAGCGGAAGGCAAAGAAACCCACAAAGGAACCCCCTCCAGAGAAGCCGGGAACCAAAGCCAAGCCCATAGTCAGAAGACAGAACTCGAAGCTCCAAGAAGTGGCTCCACCTCCAATTAAATCCCTGAAAGTAGCTCGGGCCACCACTGTGATATCCCAGCAGAAGAGGCCACGACCCCAGTCGCCCAAGCAGGACAGTATCAAGGTCCAGGGCAAGCCCACGGACGAGGAGAGTGGCACCGGCTACGCAGAAGCTCTTTCCCTCAGCATCCAACCAGCTGACGGTGATCACCTCCTGGAGGAGGAGATCTGCCTTTGTACGAATCGAGATCACGATAGTCTACGCTCGCAGGCGGAGAACCAAGCCAACCTAGAGCCGCAGAAGACACCTCCGGGCGAGAGCCAGAACTGGACGATATCCTGCGATGACTCGACTTGTACCAGCCCCCAGTGCCGGAATAAGAACTATGCCACGGAAGAGCATACCACCAGCCAGTACACCGAGGCCTCAGGGACGACGAACTACACGGAGGAGGGCAGTTCTCGGGTGAGCTACAAGGGCCAGGACGACACAAACGGCATCTCCTGGCAGGATCAGCAGGCCATCCCAAGCGACAAGTCCGAGGAGGTCCAGAAAGATTACCAGGAGAGCTTCAACACCAGCGATGGATTCTGCAGTTGCAACCCCAGCGCGGCCACCGGCTACACCGACACGTATCCGGAGGATGACGAGTCCCAGGATGCGGCCATGAAGAAGCCCACCAACGACCGGAAGCCACTGAAGACCGGACGTCGCTACTACACGGAGACCCAGGGCATGGCTGCCAAGGATCTGTCCAGGCGGTGCAGCTGCCGGTCGCTGCACTCCAAGACCTCCATTCGGGTGCTCAGCTCGAACACGGAGAGCGTGACGTGTCCCTGTGCTCCGGCGCCTTCGGTGGCCAGTGTGGAGAAGGCTTCGGATCGGGATCAAGACCAGGAGCGGGCAAAGCCAACTAGAACCAACTACCCCGCAGAGTCACTGCAGTGCCAGTGCGGATGCTGTGCCTCTCGCTACGATGCTGGGCCTTGCAGAGCCTCGCCCGGCCAGTATCCTCCGTCCGGGGGCTATCCCGCCCAAGACAACGTGACCCAACGCCCCAACCGATCCACCAAGTCGACGGTGTTTGGGGAATACGCCCGCTGGGAGCGGCAGCCTCGGAACATGTCGCGTCCTATCCTCTCCAACCAGCGACCTTCGCCAAGGGCCTTCCACGAGGAGCTGCGTCTGCGCCGGATGGAGGCAGCCACCTGCCTCTGCTCCTACATGGGCAACGCGCCTCCGGGGCAAGACATCCGGCCACACCACCAGGCGCCGCAGCAGCAGTATCCACCACAGAGGCAGTGGAGTCCTGGGCCTGGAAGTCCCGGAAGGAGCCGACAGGCAAGTGGACACCTGGCCCCACACTGGGCCGGAAACAGTGCACCACAGATCCAGCAATTCCGGCCGCACAATGGCTATCCACCGCCGGAGAATGTGGGCCAGTACTTCTATGGAAGTCCGTACCAAGCGAATCTGGTGGGCAAGCCGGGAAAGGATCGGACAGGAGCCATGACGGCGGCGGCAAAGGGTCTCCGTGGCTTGGTCAAGGCATTGGGCGGGCCATCCCGGCGCTCGAGAAACATATCCGAGGACAGGGATCAGAGGGAACGGAAGGAACTCCCCGGGAGTTCCCCGAGGCCTCCCCCACCCATGCGTCCTCCCCACCAGCCGGTGAACTACTCCCAGGAGGTGATCGACCTGGCCAGCCATCCCACGGAATACGACCATCATCCTTCCTTGAGAAGAATGCCCAGTCGAAGGATTTTCCCAGTCGCAGAGGAGCTGCCGGAGAGAGGCTATCGAAGTGATGCCGGTGTTCCCTACATAAGAGCCCCCATGCCCCCATGTTTCTGTCCAGGCATGCTCCTCCCATGGCACCTCCAATGGCCATGCCGATACCCCCACCGAGGCTCCCCAGCTCCAGGTTCCAGGGCAATCCCTACCGGGCGAGGCCGCCGCACAAGGCTGGAACCCAAGGCTGGAACTACCTGGCCCTGCAGCCGGGGGGCACCACAACCAGCGGCAGTGAGTGGGTGCGGCGGGGAGGTGGCACTGAGAGAAGACCCCCGACCTCCGACACGGACTTCAACGCCCCATCGACGAGCCAGCGAGCGAGGTCCTTGCTCCGCAGAGATCGGCAGATGGCAGGAGCCTCGCCACTGATAGAAGAGTCCTCCAACACCTCCATATCGTCCACACCCACGCCTGCACCCACACCCCTGGCCGTGTTCCTGGACGCCTTGCGGGCCAAGCACTTGGCAGCGGAGCTCCTCTCCCGAAGCTCCAAGACATCCAACAACTCCACCGAGAAATCGAAGAAGGACTTGGGATCGAGGCTAAGTCGTCGCCGATGTCTGGCGGAGGAGCCGATGGTGATACCCGCCACCTACAGCGGCCTGCTCGAGGAGCAGGTCCTGGAGGAGTACCTGCCCAGTCCGCGCTGCAAGCGACGAACCCCAAAGATGGACTAGCCCCACGAAACCCCCCCCCCCTGACTTGTCATGTGAATAAATTGTAAGAGTAACTGCATCCACCCCGGGCCTCTCCTGGAAACCCACTTCCTGTTACTTGGAATAATTTTTAATGCACGACTACGAGCTGGGAGTCAATAGCTTCAGGTAGGAGGCACTGCTCCACTGTCTGTGGTCTCCGCCCTGGACGTTGTGCTCCTCCAGGTAGAGGCGCTTGGGAGCGCCTCCGGAGATGCGCGATTCCCGGCGCGAGGCCCCCTTGCTATTGTCCTGGCTGAACCGTGTCGGCCAGTTCTTCCTCGCCGAGGAGCGGCGCAGCGAGCTGGCCGTGCTCCGGATCTGCGGCGTGGAGCTCTCCGCCCGGACACTGACGTCCTCCACCACCGGCTCCGGCGGCCGGCGAGTGCAGAAGACCTGGACGGGTGGCGGGGGCTTGGAGACGCGTGGCGCCTTTTTCTTGTCGTCGTCCTCCTGGTCGGTGGGCTTGGCTTTAGCTTTGGCTTTGGTCCGTCGGCGCTTCCGGATGACGTCCTCCTTGTCGGTGGATACCACCTTGTAGTAGAGCTTGCACAGGTCGGAGCAGTTGCGGCCACTGTGGAAGCGCTTGGCCCGCGCATTCTGGTCGATGATGGCGCACACCAGCTCCTCCAGCTGGACCTCCCCGAGGACCGGCAGCAGAAAGTCCAGATCCACCGGGCAGATGGCGTGGTCGTTCAGCTTCCGGAGCATCCCCATCAGGTAGGTCTTCTGGTCGGGCACCAGCACCGGCCCCATGAACATCATCCGCAGTATCTTGTAGCAGTTGTCCACGTCCAGGGGATCGATCGGCATCCCGCACCGGTCGTACATGCTGTCGTAGATCTTGAGGTCATGCAGCTCCGAGTACGGCGCCTTCACGTTCTCCATGACGTTCCACTCGCGGTCGCGGGAGTACCTTGGTAGCGGCTGGCTCTCGTGGTAGGCCAGCTGGAAGAGCGTCGTTATCAGATGGTACTTGGTCACCCGGAACAGGCAGGCCAGCGCCTCGACGATGTTCTTGTTGCGGACACAGCTGCACTTGCACTCCTGGTCCGGATCGCGGGCGCACAGCCTGCACGACTGCACCGGGCAGCAGTAGGGCTTCTCGGCCGGCCTCAGCGGCTCCAGGGGCCGCCGTGGACACGAGCATGAGTCTACCTGGGGCCGTCGTGGACACGAACACGAGTCTCCCTGGGCACAGCACGACGTCATCAGCGGGCAGGTGCCACATCCAGAGCATCCCTGCCCTCCGCACCTCGTCACCGGGCAGCACATCCTGCAGACAGTCCTGATCCCCACCAGCTACTGGCTGGTTCTACTCTTCAATATCCAGCTCCCAAGCTCTAAGGCCTCAACCCGCAGTCGATTCCACCTCCGATTTTAAGTTTGAGACCAAAACCCGAAAGGAGAAACATGGCCAGCTTTTGGGCTCAAGGGAGATCTCATTTTTTTCTCAAAAAGCATGCTTTTTCAAGAAATAATATACTTTTCCTTAAATATTCCCTTTAAAACTATGCTTTTTAAGAAATATCCTAACTTTAGTCAGTTTTTATAGTCAGAATACCCCCTAACTTTCCTTCGAAAGCTTATTCGACATGTTTTATCAGGTTTTTGGTCAAAAAAGCATGCTTTTTGAAGTTAAAATACGTTTCTTCTTAAATGAGAATTGCTTAGAAGAGTTGTCTAACCCTTTTTATAGCTTTTGAAAATCTTAATATCCACTATCTTGCTTTGAAAAGCTGATTAGTCATGTTTCAACATTTTTTTTAGTCAAAAAGCATGCTTTTTTAAAAAATAATCTGCTTCTCCTTAAATATGCCCCTTAAAACTATAGTTTTGAAGACGGGATACCCGATATCTTACAATTGAAATCATCCTGGCTATTTTTGAACATGTTCTTTACATTTTTTGAATCAAAAAGCATGCTTTTTCAAAAAGTATTCAGTTTTTCCATAAATTTAATATAATGTAAACCTAATTTTGGATTTTTAAAAAAAGGATAACTGGTATCTTTCCTTTGAAAGCCTTTTCAGGATGTTACTCTAAATTTTACATCATATTATTGGTCAAAAAGCATGCTTTTTCAAATTATAATAATTTTTGCTTTTTATAATCTTTTTAAAACTATTGTTTCGACAAATTGCCTAAACTTCTTTCAGGTTTTAAAAGCAGGATATCCGGTATCTTACATTTGAAAACCTTTTTCGACATGTCCCACGAGGTTTTCGGTAAAAAAGCATGCTTTTTCAGGTAATGAAGTAGGTTTATCCTTAAATAAGACATTTTTTAAAGAATTATCCACAACTTGTGTCAAATAGAATATACCCTATCTTGAAATTGGAAGCTTAATGGAAATTTTTGACATGTTTCCGAAGCTTTTTGGTAAGAAAGCATGCTTTTTTAATTAATAGTTAGTTTTTCTTTAAATAAAATTGTATTAAAGAGTATTTGAGACCTTTATTTAAACTAAATACAAACCATCTTGCATGTGAAACCTTACTAGACGTGTTTCGAAATGTTTTTAGTGAAAAAGCATGCTTTTTCAAGTAAGAAAGTATGTTTCTTTTTAATGAGAATGGTTTTGAGGAATTTTCCAAGGTTTTTTCTGATTTTTAAGCCTAAATACCAGCTATCTTGCATACTAGACGTGTTTCGACATGTTTTTAGTAAGAAAAGCATGCTTTTTAAAGCAATAACTTGATTTGTGAACAAAAAGTAGCCTCAGGAGTTGCCTTTACAGGAGCTGTCATTGCTATTTACTTCTCCTATCACTCGGCATGTTAAATTATCAGAAAAAGGCAATCAAATTCGTTTTTAACCTCAAATTCGTGAGTAAATCCTGAAGGCCACACTTTTGAAACCAAAAAAGCAACAAAAAAAATACCAAAAATTCCCGTTCGAGAGAAGAAAGACCGATTTCAAAATTCAAGTTAGTTCGAGGACAAGAAACGGAATGGATGTGACGAAGTTGTTTGGGGCAATACGCCGGAATCCGCCGGATCGAGGATCAAGGATGGGGGGACCAGTGGGAGGAGCTCGATATGAACCGGAACTGGCCGCAGGATCGGCATCTTTAAGGCGGAATCGAAGGCCTTATGGTGGTGGGGCTGCTGCAGGATTAGGACCAGGACCGAGTGGAGCTACTGGTAGTCTTCCCAAGAGGATTATACCGGGAGTGGTGAACCGGACGAGAATGGAAGAAGCTGGAGGAGGAGGCACTACTCCAGTAGGTGGAATAATTGATGTGGGAAGAGTGGTCGGAGGATTTGGCGGAGGAGCCACTGTGCTCCAGCAGAATACCATTACGGGCGTCTTCCGGAGGCGGCAAATCACCCTGCCGGCACCCCGGATATCCGCTCCTCCCCGGCGACCCAGCGAGGCCAAGTGGATCATGATGCCCGTGCAGAACTTTATACAGGGCAGCGAGTCCTCCGAGGACACCTCCGTCAACCAAGACACCTCCCTGGACGAAGAGGACGACCCGGCCGGGGGAAGGAGCAAAGGAGGCCAGACCGAGACCCGGAGCAGCAGCAGTAGCAGCAGCTACGAGAGTCTCACCAACTACCCGCATGTCCAGGAGAGAGGACACTCCCAAGTCCGGGTGTTGGCCAGTCAGAGGTTGCTCCACGCCGGGGAGCGGAAGGAGACCCAGTGCCGACAGAATCCATACGCCTCCGGTCCCGATAACAAGTCCCAGGAGAACGAGAGAGCCCCCCAGCGCCGTCCCAGCATCACTTCCAGTCCCAGTGACACTTCCAGTCGCGAGGAGGTGATCTCCATGACCAATTCCAGCAAGATCAGCAGCCTGAGCACCAGCGGGAGCGAGTGCCGCACCGGAAGTGCCACCTCGGAGCGTGTGGCCTGGGCGGTGGAGCGAATCATGGGCGGCCAGGGTCCCAAGGCCATCAAGCTGACCTCCACGGTGATTAAGATACTGCCGGAGACTAGTCTTCGTAGACCGGAGCCAGCTATAACCACTACGGAGACTAACCTGGATGAGGATGCTGAGACGCCATCACCACCACCGCCTCTGCCGGAGAGCAGGCCGCTGGCAGTACAGCCGAAGACCAGCCCCCTGGACGAGCGTGGCCAGTTGCAGGCCAGGTTGCATTCCTTGTTCCAGAGCCGTGGGGTTCCGCCCATCAAGACGGCAGTCAGAGCACCGAAGCGCCCTCCCAGGCACCCGCCAGCCCATCCCAGCCAGGTTGTGAGTCACCTGACCGCCCGGCTCAAGGAGGCCACCGGCATCCAGTCGCGGATTCGAATCAAGAGTTCGCCCTATATGCTCCAGAAGAATCTCCAGACTTCCAAGGCCAAGGACTCGGAAGCCTGGGACACCCGCAGGAATCAAATGAAAGTCCTGGCCAGGAACCACTCTCTCCTAAATGTCCCAAAGAAGTCCAAGACTCCACAAGGACACAAGGATCTGGGAAGCAAGCTAGAAAATCAAGCGAATCCTGACATCGAAAGGACATCCGTGAAGGGTCCTACTACCAAGCCACCTGTGCCCGTGTCCCTCAACAGGAAACAGGATACCCCACAGCAACCCTTGCCCTCCAAGGGAGCCACCCAACCGGCCCCGCAGCGTCCTCCTTTGAACGAGATCCTCGGAGCCGGCGGCAAGATCGTCCAGATGCGACAGCACAAGGTGCCCAAGACGATGGAGGACGGCGTGGACATGAGCTATCAGTACTTTGTCTCCATTCCCCTGAAGCGTGGGAGGAAGGCGCAGGTGGTGCGCTACCTCTACCGGCCCATGGTGCGGAATCTCAACGGTACTCCCGCACCCACCCGGCGCTCCCTCCGGCGGGCGAAGCGCAAAGCCGCAGAAGCTGCAGCGGCAGCGGCAGCGGCATTGGAAGCGGAACAGGATGACCTGGAGGCGGCGGTGGAGAGCATGGAAACGGACCCCGATCTGGTGGCCTTGGGCGGAGTGCCGGTGCTACTCGCAGAGCCCGCCCCCGAAGAGGAGAAACTGAGGCGCTCGAGGATCATCCTGGATCCCGAGGCGGAGCTGAATGCTCCCTACGAGGAGCCGCCCCTGATGCTGGAGGCCAAGTACATGCCGATGCTGGCGAAACTGGCCCAGATGCCATATCCCGAGGAGCGCCACGGCCGTCGCCGAAGGAAGCGCCGGGCCCGGGTGGCTGGCGGCTCGGAGCAAGTGGCTCCGTCCACCTGCCCGTTCAGCGACGGCGAGTGTCCACAGCCTGGGCTGCTGGGCGGAATCTTTGGTGGCGGCGAGGCGGCCAGGGAAGGAGCCAGGCTAGCGGCCGGAATCTCAACGACCGAGAGCCGGCGGGCCCTGGACTCTTTGTGGTCCCGATCCCAGGTCCAGCCGGAGATGCGCTCCTCGCTGATCAACTACCGGCCGCATGCCACTCGCCTCAACACGGCCACCGGCATTCCGATCTCCTACCACACGCCCGTGTTCCTGGGCCAGCCCCGGTCGGATGGCGGCGCCGGCTCACCCACCGGCAACTTGATCCTGTCGAGATTCCCGGACGAGGACCCCACAGAGCCCATGATCCGGGCCGTCACCTACGAGGATGTCCAGCAGGAGGTGCTGGCCGAGTCATCGGACCCCAACCACCAGAGCGCCAGCAGTGTCCGGAAGGCGGTGAGCTTCCGCCCGGACAGTGCGGTGGGTGCCACCACGAGTGCGGGCTGTGCCGCGAGTGGAATGCCCAGCAGCGGCACATCCATCCACCTCAGTTCCCTTTCCGCCGGGGATCTGGGTGCCCGCACCAAGGTCAAGGGTCGGATATCCTCTCGCAAGTCCAAGGCAAAGGTCAAAGGGAAGAGCAAGCCGAGAAGCAAGAATCGTCGATAGAGGAGGATCCCGTGAAGGCCAAGAAACGAAAACCCACCCAGCGTAGTTCACCCACTCTGTAGTAGCCATCCTGCCCGTTGCGCCAAGGCCCCAGGACATTCGTAGCATTCCAATCTGGTAGCTTTTAAAAATTCTAAAACTGAAAAAACACAAATTTCACACAAAGTTTGGTTCCTAAAATAGCAATAAATTTTCTTCAAAATCCTTTTTCAAAAAAAATATCTTTTAAAAGGAGGAAGAGGGATGAAGGAAGAGCTTTTTAAAAAGTCTTTTAAAGAGCTTCAAAGATATATGATACCCGGTAGTAGATGTCTAACACCGGAAAGCTCAAGAAAAATAATCTTTAAGTGGCTATGTAGATTTTACAAAATATTTATAGAGCTTTTAAAAGCTCAATAGTTATATGATACCTGGTACTTGATACCCAATAGCTCCTACAAATGAATCCTATAATCCTAATCTAGTATTTCTAACTTCTTCCAAATAATCCAATAATTGCTTTATAATTTATACTAAAATCTTTACCAAAGTCCTCACCTAATCTTGCGTCTTCTTTTCGAGGATTTTTTCAAGAAAAGTATTACATTTTGTAGAACAGAGCTTTTAAAAGCTTCCAAGTTATATGATACCCGGTACTATTAAACTAAAACTCTCTTTAAAAAGTATTCTTTAAGAAATATAAGCTCCTCATTTAATTACCAAAAGATTTATTTAAAGAAAAGCTTCCTCCAAGTTGTGTGATACCCGATACTCCCTGAAAAATAATCCCATAATTGCTTATAGATTTTCTGTTTGTTGTCATAAAAGCGCGTAAATATTTATCCCAGTCCTAACCTAATTAGGGGACTTGAAGTCTAGAGTGGGAGGAGATGGGAAATCGTGGACTAACGATGACTTCACCTGGCCAAAGGTCACAGGTCACGGGTCACGGGTGAGGGGGTGGCAGTCCTGCTGAGGTGATTGCTCAATGTCAGGATGTTGGTCATTAGCCAAAGGGGGTCTCCAAAACTAATGCCCGAAACTACCTAGCTAATGATGGAACTGGAAATGGAATTGAAGTGGCGGGGAAATTACTTGATTTATTCGATTAAAAGCATAGACTACTTCCTAGTTGTAGTCACTAACTAGTGATTTTTTCTAGACTCTGAAAACTATTTTTAAAAAAATGCACATCATTCTTAATGAGTGCGAATTTCAAGTAGCCTCTATAACAAGTACAGTGGGTATTGGATATACAGAACCTAGCGTTAGATATTGAAGATATATATATATATATATATGCCTTTTGAAATCAATTAGTTTGGAAGCAATAGCCCCCATCCTACAATACCGTGCCAAGCACCCATTGAACCTTGACGCGCCCCCATCACCCCCATCCACCGCCCGCCATCGAATCGAACCCGCTTCGAATGGTGGGCATTATTTCCAATTAGAATCACCAGGCGCGGTTCCACCTAATGAATAGAGTTCCACCACCGCCCCGAAGGTGTGAATGCGCTCTGGTTTACGATTTCGATTTTGATTTCTATTTTTTTTTTTTTGTGCAAATACCTCGAGTGTGTTTACTTCAGAGGCCCCCGAGCTACAAAAAAAAAATAAAGAAAGAAATGTGATTTAGATATCGGTTACTGGGTCGGCCACAATATATAGGTACACCCCGGCCAGTGGGTCATAAAAGAAATATACAAACAACACCGTGTATAATTAAGGTTTATGATGAAAAGTCAAGTTGGAAACGCAGTTGGAAAATCGTGGCTCCTCCAAAGACCCCTTATCGGCCATAGCCTGAATCGATTCTGATAAGAGACAGGTTCGAAAACCCAGACAGATAGGTGGATGGGTCTTATCACCAACACGGATGTAGTGCTAGATCGCTAGAGTGCCTATATATACGGGTATAATATAGGGGCCTTAGTCTTTTGGGCTCTTTGGGAAGTCTTGCCTCTGGAATCATAAAGTTTAAATCAAAATTAATGAAGATATATGAAAAGAAAACCTCTCTCTTAATACCTTTTAATATTTTAGTCAACCATGTGACTGACTTTATCCAGATTTATCTAAATAGCAAGTGATTAAGTGGATTGAGACAATTCCCAGCTCTAGAGATCGGATTGTATAACACCCTGGCCGGGCTAATATATAGATTTTTGCAAAATCGTGGGGGCGGAACTCAATTTAAGCTCACTAAACAATTCTACACACGGCTTTAATTAACACCTGCGATGGCTAGAGGGGGGGAATAGACGAGGGGAGGGGCTAGTGAGGCACCAATAGTTTTCATTTATTTCTCTGCTGCCGGCCTGCAGTTGGGGCATTTTGCTAATGAATGGTGGCTGTTTACATCATTGGATCGTCTATTCGAAATCGGTTATAACCGGTTTGGGGGTCTTACTCAGTATAAGGATTACCCTCCAAAGACTAGGCGCTGAACTATTTGGAAACAACAGGTGTGTGCCTCCATGAAGTAATATTTCTAATAATTTTTAAGAAAAGAAATTCTGAAAGAAATTCTTAAATGATTAATGATTCATATATATATATGGAAGCTCGGGAGCTGGGAGCAGGGAGCTGGGAGAGCTCGTTGCTCGCCTTGAACCAATAAAACCCGTTCCATTCCGGGAGAGACCTTGACCCGCTTGCCAGTCCAATATGATGATATATCATCTCCTGCTAGCTGCTCCAAGGAGTATACAATTGGAGTCGCAATGTCAGGGACACCAGATACTCTATATACATGTGTACTATATCTATGGATGTATCTATATATATATATATATATATATATGTATAAGCACGCATGACCAGTGCAACGAGAGTGCGTGCGGGTGGCAGTGTGCCTGTGTGGGTGGCTGCACTTGCCGCAGAGCGAAAATCAATAAGCACCCACGACAATACCGCCCACACACACGCCACTGCATCCACACGCATCCACGTCCTTTTTTTTGTGGCTGGCACTCACTTGTTGGTAATCTCCAGGACATCGGACATCATGAGGCGATACTTGCGACGGAAACGCTCGCCCCGCTTCGTCTCCAGCAGATATTTGTTGCAGAAATCCGTCAGCGACACAAAGTAGATGAAGCCCAGCGAGGTGAGGAAGAGGCCGCGCTGCAGCGAGATGCGATCGGTGGTGTTGGGTATCTGCCACAGGCTGCTGCATGCCAGTCCCATCGAGCCAATGGAGAAGGCCAGCGAAAAGTAGCAGCCGCGACTCGGCTTCTTTTGCAGCTGGGTCTTTGCAGTGTCCTCCTCAGCCGATGATGTTTCCGCCTGGGCATCCCGGCAGGCTCCGTTGCCGTGACCGTTCCGGCGCTGATGCATTCTGTTGAAATTTTGGGGTGTGGTGGTGGTGGGGGAGGTGGTGTTGGGTTTTCTGGTAGTCCTCCGGGTCACTCGGGGAGGAACAATTCACAACCTGTTGCTGGGTGTTCAGGGAATCGGGAATCCTGACGACGGCGGGCGGCGGCGACTCACTTACACACTGCACTGGGGCATGATGGCTGGCGGCTAACGGGCGGATTTGGACTCGGTTTCTGTTACGGATACGGTTCTCGTTGCGGTTACGGCTCCGGAGGCGGTCCGGGTGCTCATCGGCCAGCGGATTGTTTAGCGCTCCGTGCGGTGCGGCGGTCGTGAATCAGCTGCCTCTGCTGTATGGCGGTATTAACAGTTCTGGTATTAAATACTAGAAACTATCGGTTAACCGGTTATCGCAATGGAATTTATCGAAGAATATTCTTAACCGGTTCGTACAATTGAGACCGGTTCAGGTTTAAGAAGTTTTAAAAACTTTAATGTATTATACTACTGTACTATTTTAAGTCCTCTTTTTTTTTAAAGATCTTATTTCAAAATTGTTTTCTTAAAAAAAAATATAATTCTTGAAATTTCAACAAAGTATCTTTTATTAAACAACATGTAATAATTTGTTTAAAATTGAATAAGGGCGGCTGTTTTTTATTTAATTTAAAAAAATCCGTTAATGTAAATATTTGTAAAGCAAATATTACGCAAGTTAATACCAAGTTTTAGTATCAGCTCTTGCTTGGAAAAAATTATCATCAGTTTTATCGATAGTTCGATTTTAGTGTTATAAGCCCTCCCGACAAAACAGTGCTGTGAAGTGCTTGAAAAAAGTGCTTTAAAACACGAAAAACGTTGTTAATTCGTTTTTTTTTCCCACTAAGTACTTTCCACTAAGAGCGGACGGTTGCTACAGGCACGGCAAAAAAATGGCGAAGAAATTCGGTGCGAGAAGTGCGTGCGCGCAAATTGCGATCCTATTAGCGGTGTGCGGTGCGCTCCAAAGTGCGGCGGCCTTGTGTAAGTGTCACCAAAACGGAATATATCCGTGTCCGGGAATATAACTTCTAATTCGTGTTTCTTCTCCTACACACACACTCTTTTTTTTTTTTTTTCTTATTTTTTCCTATCTCTTACTCTTTCTCACTGATACGTCTTGTCTCTTTTTTACCTTTTGTCTTATCCACCTCGGTGGTTGTGCCTCTGTGTGTGTGTGTGTGTGAGTGTGTGTGTTTGGCTGTAAATCTGGTTGTTGTTATTTTTCTTGTACGCAGTTCAAATAAGAAACAAAAAAGGAAAAAAACACATAAAAATTCCCATAGTGCGTGCAGGAAGACGTAAAGTCGCATAGGATATACCGATATATATATGATGTGGAAGACCCTCCCCCCTCCCAACTATATGGTATTATATAGTATGGGTATTTATGGCCCGTTGTTTGTAAACCAAAAAAAAAAGACAAATCATCATTTGGGGATTTTTGTTTTTTTTTTTTATCCGTATGGTGAAATTTTTTACCTCTGCCATGTTGTATTTATTTTTTTTTTTGTGAGCTGGCATCGAATGCGTTAATTGACAACAACAATAACAAGAATGACAAAAAAAAAAACAAAAATTTACAAAATCGAGAGTGTACAAGAGAGTCAGTCGAGTGTGAAAATAGGCTCCCCCATCCAAACACCTCCTCACAAAAAAAAAAATGATAAACTCCCACCTTGCAGCATTTATTTTTTCAAGTTTTGTTTTGTGCGCCACATTTCTATTTTGCGCCATGCTCCACTTAACGTGCAACAATTTTCCATCTGCGACGTCGCCACCAGTGCCCCATCACTGCCATCACTAGAGATGAAAAGCGCAAAACAAAAACAGAAAAGAGAAGAAGAGGAGAAAAAACTGAAAAAAAACAACCTGCATATTTCAATTGAAATTTGTGGCGCACTCTGATTAAAGCACATGACTAAAAAAAAAACACTAAAAAGTTATAATTTAGTGGCAATTTTCAATTTAAAATGCTCCAAAAATAAAGAAAATTAAAATTATTATAAAAATACCAAGCTGGCAATGCCCTCTCTGTCTAAGTATGTGTGTGTTTGTGTGCCGGCCTCTCAGCTGCTGGATAACTGCACTTGCTTGCACTCTCTCACTTGCACCTGCTGCTTACCCATCCTGATAAAAGAATTGTGATTTCTTTCTTCTAGAAACTCTAGAAATCTACAATCTACAATCTACAGCTAAATGACTTTAAAAAGTACTATTCTTTTTTTTTTTTGTTGTCACACATGTTGTCTATAAAGTGGGTTTCTTAATCACATAGTCGTAATACTGTAATTAGCCTTAATACCATCTGCCAGCAATATAGAGACAAACTACACTACTCTGGCCACTACGCATTACAAATAGTTTGTTGTTACAACAGCCACAGATACAACAAAGGCAGAAATACACCTGAAATACACCTTTTGTGACAAAAAGCTTCCAAGTGACTTGTTTTTGGGTGATTTTTGTTAGTCATTGTTGGAAAGAAGCGTTTTTGGACAAAAAAAATAAGAAATTGGCTTAGAAATAAGGTTAATAGTAAGAGAATATTGTTAGCATTTAGTTTTAGTTAGCTCTAGTAGTTAGCATATAGGCTTTTATTAAAATAAGCTTCTAATTCATTTAATTAAATAATTTAAATAAATAAATAATAGCGCCCTCCTCCTTGATTCTCATAGGTGGCACTTAAGGAGACCCAAAAAAGGAATAAAAAAAATAAAAAAAATATATTTAATTGCAATTTAAAAAATAATAATAATAATAATAAACAGTGCCCTCCTCCTCGATTCTCATAGGTGGCACTTAAGCAGCCCCAAAAATGATTTTTTAATTGGTTTTTTTTTCTTTTTTAGTTTAATTTTTAAAACTACAGTTTTCTTCAATAGAATCTATAGAGTTTATTGTGAGACTCTGCCATGTTCAATAATTTTAATCATAATAATAATAAATACTTATAAAAATAATAATGATAAAATATAAAAATGATGAATACTAAATATTCTGTTTCATCCATTTATTCCTTTTTTAAAAATGCTATCGATAATTATCGATTATGATGAAAATATTATAACCAAAACACTTGTTCTATAAACCTTAAATTAGAGATCTTTAAAATAAAATTTAAAGAAACTAAAGCTTTAAAATGCCAAGTTATAGGCTTATAGGTCCCCTACTCTATAAAGCCCACCACCCCTCCTCCCCTGGAGTTGAAAACAAAAATGCAATTAGCCGATATATGCCACTTGAGAAAAAAAAAAACGCAAAAGAAAGAAAATAAAGCCACAAAAAAACGCTTACGTCGCAATTAGGTTTCTGTATATTTTTTTTGGCCACAAAACCCACCCTGTCTGTCATTATTTTTGGTCTCCAAAAGTGTTTGTACAGTTTCATATCGGCATATATATATATATATATATTTTTTTTTTGTTTTTGTTGACTCAGTTGGTGTGGATTCCAGTGAGTTCTTTGTCAGCTTATTGTTTTGTTTTATTTTTCCAGCCCCAGTCTCTCCACTTGCCATCAGTTAAAAGTGCATTCGTTTTTAAAATTAAATACTATTATTTTGCAAATGGTATCCAACTCCCCCTGGGGGCACTCTGTCTGTAATCAGTATCAGAACTCTGGGGAATTGGCGTTAATCCGCTACTGGCACCAGTGGCTCTCTCTCCGGGGCTCTTATCAGTCATGCTTTACATCTCGTCCAGAGTCCAGAGTTATCACTCCTTTTATTCCAGTGGTGGAGCCACAGCCACAGCCCCCCAACCAGTACAAAGTCTACTTGAATCAAAGTTCCGGTTTATAAGAATATTTATATCCAAAATATTATAAGTTATTTTTTTAAAAAATTATATTTAATGTTTTGTTATCTGTTAAATATTTATCCACTTATCTTAATTATTTAATTACTTCCCTAGTTCCCTGTGATAATCAATCATAACTGGTTCCCAAAGACCCAAAAGACTAGTCTTAACTCAAGTCACACTTTTTATGACCCGTTTCCCGTTGGGGTCTCCAAAATATAATATTTTCAAGACCCTAACTTGGGCAGAGTCTCTTATCTTTGAAGTTCAAGTTGAAAGAGGGCATAGCCAGCTCTACATACCCTTATGAATCATAGACCTTTGTGGAGTCTCAAAGATCTGCAACAAGTGCATCGTTTGTTGGCCATGGGATTGGGTACATCATTAGCGTCAGTTCATCCATCCAACCATCTATTCTGGAAACTTGGTTGTGACCCCTGCCTTTGTTTGGCTTCGACCCGCAGGTGATGTGACGGCGATAAGCTTTTACGTCTAACGGGCCAGTCCAGTCCACAAAAGAACTGTTTATTTGTGTTTGTAGAACTAGGTTCCCCCCCTCTCTATAAACACTGCAAATTGCTTAGATAAACATCATTCTCAACTATCACTTTTTTGGCAGGTAGGAGATAGTATACTCTCCTTTCTTATAAACAAAGTTAGATTTAAGATCTCAACCTAATTATTAAAAATAATAATCGGAACTTCCCAAAGCAAATATGTATGTTTTGAAAAAGTACAAAAGGCCATAAATATTAAAGTTTTTATTGACAAAACAGCACAATGTTCAAAGATAAGCCAACTTAACTGTGTTGGAGCGTCTCTGCGATAAGGTACATACATATTTAAAACGTAAACACATCTATTGTGGAGGGAAAATAATAATGCAAGTTTTTAAAATGAATAACAATTCGCAGAATAGTCAACTATCAGAAGGGAGTAGTGCATTTCTTGGAAGATTATATATTATATTGTTTTCTAGGGATTGTTGACATTTTTTAATTAAAATAATTAAGCTAAAAAGCAGAACGCTCTAGTTCTATATAGTACAGAGTTATGAGGGTTAGGATATAGTTTATAAGAAGTGCTCTTTGAAAAAAAATCTTTGTAGATTTGTCTAAAAAGTTATAGATTGCAATTTTTGGAACTAAGAACCTATGCTATGGAGTTTCTGTAAGACTATATGAATAAATAGCAGAGTTATAGGAGTTAGGATGTAGCTTATAAAGAGGGCCTCTTAAGAAAAAACCTATAGATTTGTCTGAAAAGTTATAGATTGCATTTATTGGAACTAACAAAAAATGCTATGCACTCTCTAGAAGGTTATTTGAATAAATACTATAGTTATGGTGGTTAGGATATAGCTTATAAGGAGTGCTTACTAAAAAAAATCATAGATTTGTCTGAAAAGTGAGAGATAACCTTTTTTGGAACTAAAAACCTATGGTATGCAATTTCTAGAAGAGTATTTGAATAAATAACAGAGTTTTAAGAGTTAGGATATAGCTTATAAGAAGTACTTCTTGAAAAAACCGTTATAGATTTCTCTGAAACGTTCTAGATTGCATTTTTTCGAATCCAGAACCCATACTACACCTTCTCTGGAAGGGTATCTGAATAAATTAATAAAAAAAATACATATTTTCTATTAAAATATTGATTGACATTGAACCACTAAACCGCATTGCTTTCCCTACCAGTTTTGTGGCACTTTTCAAGTCAATTGATAATCAAATGACGCATCCACTAGCCATCTTTCTATATATTCGATATAATATATAGAATATATAGAATATATGTATATTGGATTGGCATTGATTGATTTTTTCGTCCTTCACACCTTGTTGTCATCGCAATTAGAGATACACTTTCCCCCCCAAAAAAAAATGAAAACTAGAAAATAAAGTAGGTCACTGTGCAAATTGCCACGCCCCTTCCCTCCCGCATGCCTGCAAATAGCAAAGGTCGTTAGCACACAGTACTCTGACGGTGGGAGGGGGGTGGTAGGGAAAATGGTGTTTTTTTTTGTGGAAAAGCCAACAGTTTTCGGTTTTCAATCAAGTGCCGCATAAATTTACGCCAATTGTTTCCAGAGGGGCGCCACTTACAGCAATTAACTCTGAGTTCAATTGGATCGGATCGGGTGCAGTCACGCGATATATATGTATAGGGTTACTATATACATATACGATATGTGTACAGATCTTTTGTTTGTCTTATAAGCCAAGTTAAGGTCTCGCGGTTAAGTGGTGTGGTGCCACAACGTCTCGAATGCACTTTGATTCGAGGGTAGTCGTCTCTATATTATATAGAACTGGATCTGGAACTGAAACAATTATTATACTTATAGATTGTTACTCATAGATAAGTAATAGTTACATACTATACAACTATATATATAAATCTTTAAACCAAATAGGGTAAAAAATCATGAATAATGGGAACCCTTTTTAGGTATCGATTGAGTCACAATTGTAATTAATATCCCCTAGGGGTCTGAGAGCTTTTTTTTTTTGCAAAGTACATACATATATGTACTTACATGAGATTGGAAATAGAAAATCAATATCGATAAGGGCTTTAAATAACGGTTCGGTTAATTACAACATAAGCACATTAAATGGCACGGAATGCGGTTTCCCCCACTTGCAACACACTCTCGGTTTACAAAAAAAATAAATAAAAACCAACATGGGGATATAGTATATTCTGTTATATAAGCAACTTTCTTAGCCGATTCTTAATGGCTTTTGGTTTGGGAAACAATTTAAAAAGCAATTACTCGAAGTATTTATAAAGAATTTCAAGTTAATTGCGACTTTTAATGAGGAACTGGCGGTCTAAATCGTGTCTGAACATGTCAGTAACGATTTCTCTCCAAACTTCTTTGGTTTAATTCAAGTTTGAACACGTCACGAACTGTTCTTCAAAGTCTTAGGGTTAAGTTGCCCAAAATGTGTGGTTTATATCATGTCTTAACATGTCGGAAACGTTTTTCCAAAGCTTTAAGATTAAGTTTCCAAGGATATTTGGTCTTAATCGTGTCTAAACATGTCAGAACCTGCTCTACAAAGTCTTAAGGCTAAGCTCCAAAAGAATTTGGTCTAATTCAAGTCTGAACATGTCACAGGCAGTTCTCCAAAGTCTTCAGGAGAAGTCTCCAAAAGTCTTAGGTCCAAATCGTGTCCAAACATGTCAGAACCTTCTCTACAAAGTCTTAAGGCTAAGTCTCCAAAAGAATTTGATCTTCTCAAGTCTCCAAAATAAGTATTCAACGGTATTTGAGCCAAAATCATGTCTAAACATGTCAGAACCCATTCCCCAAAGTCTTCAAAGGTCTTTTAACTAAAACATCCTCTTCTCTCCACAGCCAATCCAGATACATATCAAATCTCAGACTCCTCACTGCCCTACCTTCATGCCGCTGGCGTGGAGACCCTCCAGACGACAGGTGAGCGACTGCATCGCCAACGCCGAGCACCACCAGCCTCGGCCGCCACTCCAGATGCCAAAAGCCAGTACCAGAGCATCAATGCCGGCAATGTAACGGCAGAGGCGACGGTGACCACCGTGGACACCAGCAAGGCGGTGGACGGCAGCGTCTCCTACAATGTCCACAACGTGGGCGTCAATGGGACCGGGCAGCGCAAGGACTACACGGTCCAGAACGCGGACGGATCATCGGCCATTGGCACGGGCACCTCCATAAACGTGGCCGCCAAAAAACCCACCCAACTGCTGGCCTCCCAATCGGGTGGTTATCCCAAGAAGGTGGCAGCTTCTGCAGCGTCGGTGGCCGGTGGGGCTGCCACAACTACCTCGACGACACCATCACCGACATTGTCGCCCGGCATCGATGTGGAAGAAGTGGATGTGCCCGAAGATGATATCGAGAAGAATGTGAAGAAAGAGTCGCTGCAGCGCAACGAGGACACCCACGAGTACTACAACAGTTCCCTCTACGTCAGCAAGTCGGAGGCCAGCTCCATGTGGGAGCAGCTCAAGAATATATCCGAGAATAAAATGCTCTCCTCGTCCCACCGTCGCGCCATGACCGTGGAGCTCAACTTTGATTTCCCCTTCTACGGTCACAACGTTCGCAATGTCACCGTGGCCACTGGTGGTTTCCTCTACACCGGGGAGTATGTCCACTCCTGGCTGGCCGCCACCCAGTATATAGCTCCGCTGATGGCCAACTTTGATACGAGCATCTCCAATGATTCGTTTGTAAGGATGCTGGATAATGGTGAGTCTTTTAGGGATTCTAACCAGAAATCTTGGATTACCTCCTCTTGAATTCCAGGAACTGCTTTCACGGCTCTGTGGGAGAACGCCACTCTGCAGGATAACCTGGCCTACGGCAAGTTCACGTTCAGTGTGACGCTCCACAAGAATGGTGACATCGTGTTTGCCTACTACCAGATCCCCACCCAAATCAACGCCATCCAGGACAACCAGCATCCCGTCAAGGTCGGACTCTCCGATGCCTACATCATTGACAAGCATCTCTACTGTAAGTACTCCTCGAACCACAGTCGGGGATAGTTCTAATGAATCTAATCTCTTTGTAGTTGCCCGCCGCAAGACCATCTACGAGTACCACCGCGTCTCCTTCCAGCAGCACGAGATTAGCAACTCCACCATCATCCGGCTGACAGCTCTGCCCACCTGTCTCGGCTACAATGACTGCCAGTCCTGCATCAATCACAACACGACGTTCACGGTGAGTGGTCTGACCTGGTCGGCCCTGATCCTCCAGCTAATAATTATTCTTCTCCTGGCAGTGTCTCTGGTGCCCGGCGCTAAACCGCTGCTCCACGGGTACCGATCGCAAGAAGCACGAATGGGAACAGAAGGGTATGTAGTGGGTGGCTCTAAAATGGCCAAGATTTCATTAAAACCTCTCTTCTCCTTTTAGGCTGCAATTCAGCAGCGGTTCGTGTGCTCGATAGCTGCCCCGCCCTCGGGGAGAAGGGCAACAATGCCGCCAAGGATAAGAATGCCGCCACTGGCAAATCGGACAGTGCGACGAATTCTGGCGCCACCTCGACGGCGGCCACTGCCAGCTCGGCGGTGACAGAGCCCACGGTGGTCAGTACACGATCGCCGAGTGCCACTGCCCAGTCGCAGCCAGCGGCTGTTCTGGACGGCGCACACGTTGAGGGCAAGCTGGGCAATGCCGAGCTCTCCCAAGCGGGGGCCGACAACAAGAGTGTGGGCGTGGCGTTTGGGTTTATGGTGCCCATATGTCTGGTGTTCGCTGTAACGTTGTGGCTGTTCTATGCGTACCGTAATCCCCACACAAAGAGCGGTCAGCTGCTCATCCAGGTGAGTGGATATAGCTTAGATATATAGGTTGTGAAGTCTATTCCATATCTGTTTCTTTCAATTCCATGCAGTCCAAGCATTTACATCAGGTATATTCCTTATAGTTATAGTTCTCTAAAGAGTAACCTTTACTATATCATACATTATAATAATATATATATCCTATAATCCCTTATAGTTCCGTCCCAGCCAATGGTCGTGGCGACGTGGAGAGGCGCGCTATACGGCGGCCACGATACACATGTAGGAGGCACCGATGATTGTCGGCGACGAAGATGGTTAGAGGATATAGAGCAAGATCTAGGAAAAGGATGTGCCGATAAAATAAAAAAAAAAAACTAGCAAGAAAACAATAGAACTGGTCCCCCAAAAGAACCACAAAAAAAAAGCAATACCATCCAACAATAATAGGACATGGAACCGGAACCGGAAAAGCAGAATCGCCATCACAACAACCGTAATGATTAAAAATTGATTTCGATTTTATAATTGATCCATAAATTGATATTTAAAGTTCGATATATATATATATATAAATATGTTCTTGCCGATTCTGCCATGTGATTTGTCCATGTTTCCACGCCAAAACCTCCCGATACCCAACTAGAAAGATATAATACCCCCCCAAAAAAAGACAAGAGATTTTGTGAAAGGATGGTACTGATGATTGTTAAGATTTCAAAGAAAACAAAAAAAAAAAAAAAAGCAATAGAATTCAAATTAAATTAAGAAGAAAACCTCCGCTCAACAAAATAAGGAAAATTTTTAACTAAAAAAAATGAAATCTGACAACTGCCAGCAGCAAGTGATGTTTATTGTATCTTTGACCTAACCTTTGACCTTTTACCTTACCAAAATTATACACTGGACAAAAAAAAACACAAATATCTCACACACACACACCTAGGACACAGGGCAAAGTGCTTTCAATGGTTTTCTTGGTTCAAATTTTAGTGTATTTTTTACCTTAATTTTTTTTTATAATCACCAAATAAAAAATCAACAAAAAATTAAAGGCAAGAGGGAGGATTGTATATTTTTTTCTCAATTTTGCTGCTCTCTCTTCGCCAGGAAAAAAAAGAAACAGGAAATAGCAATTCTTCCACAATCTATAATTCTATAATTTTTTTTGTAATTTTTTCATTTCTGTTTGTTTGTTTTTTTTTTAAGTGTGTGTGGCAAGCTCTTGACGCCGTTCTTCTTACTGTATTATACGCGATTTGTATGCAAGATTTATGTGTAGCCCTTATATACAAAAAAAAAAAAGAATTATATAATATATATATATATTATAGATCCTGCGCCTGTATGTGAAGCATCCGTGGATATATATCCAAGACAACCTCTTCTTTTTGTTAGTATTTTTTTCTATTAATTAATATTACAAATGAAAAAAAAACAAAGACAACAATTATATATTATATTATATATATATATATGATATATATATGATTATAAAATGGAACAAACCTATATAACTATAAATGCGGTGTGCAAAGCTAAACTAAAAAAAAACCATAATTAACTAAGTGAGTACGGGGAGTATATGAGAAAATAATTATTAGATGTACTATATATCTCAATAAAAAAAAATAAAGAAAATAAAAAAATTAATGATCAGATTTAAAAACAGAATTAAAACCCAAAAACAACAAGCATGCAAGCGACAACAACTAAGGAAATTGTATAACAATGTATTTTGATAAAGAAATTAAATTTGTATTTTAAGCTCTTCTAATGTATACATGATAATTTAAATAAAAAAAAATATTAAAAAAGAAAAATATTAAACCCATAAAGTGTATTTTACATCGAACAGGGGTGATAGTTTGAAACTTAAGACTTTTTAAAGGAGTTATTGAAGAATGTAGGTAGATAGGGTGTGGTTGGTTTTATTTTCTATATAAGGATTTTAAGGACCTGCTTGGATTTTTAAGTAAATAATACTTATTTTTTAAAATAATAATACTTAATGCCAACTGTAGGAATTTTTTCTTGAAGTTTTACTTTAAAAAATTCAAGAAAAATTTGAATTTCAAAAGCAGACCGATAGTTTCGAACTTTAGACTTTTTAAGAAAAGTTTTAAAGAAATTACTGAAGTGAGTAAATATGGTATGGTATAATATTCTATATCAGAGCTTTATGGGTATGTTTTTATTATAAAACACTCATACTTTCCCTTCCTAATAATAATTATTTTCGGATAGTATTTGTTAAAATTTTTTCCTAAAGTTCTTAATTTTAAAAATGGAATAAAAAGTTTGAATTTAAAAATCGGGCCAACAGTTTCGAACTTGTGGCTTAAACCATTCATTGAATGTAGGTTTTGGTATGATATACCATATATAGTATGATTTTCTAACTAAGATTTTTAATCCTTAATACTTTCCCTTTTTAAAAATTACATATTTCCCAATAGTACTTCTTAAATTTTATTCATAACAATAAAAAAAGCTTAAAGTATCGTTTCACATTCAATTTTATTTATTGGACTATTTCGTTTGGTCTTTAATTGCATTTAATTTTACATTTAATTCTTCTTTCTTTTTTTTTTTTTAACTTTATTCAATGAATAAAATATAATATTTATGAGTTTTGATTTTTTTTAGTAATGCCACTAAATTAATAAATTTTAATTACAATTTCCATCTAAACATTTAACTTTACAGAGGCGCTAGAGGAGTCTGGAGGGGATGTAGTTTTGGTGGGCTGGGGGGCGGGTCAGTCAGGGGGGGAGGGACTCGTTTAGAGCTTCTGCTGAGCCAGCTCCTCGATGGTCCTGGCATTGGTGAGGGTCACCCAAAGCGGTGCCTGGATGCTGGCCAGCGAATAGCTTTCGGCGGCGTCCAGGGAGTGAGATTTTCGCATCGCCGGCGAGTCACTTGCTCCACCAGTGCCACCCTTCCGGGACTTATCCCGTTTCGATTCCCGCTTGCCAAAGGCGGCAGCTGCCTCACTGCCACTGGAACTGCCACTGCAACCGGCGCCACTACTACTGGCAGCCCTCAGCTCGTGGAGGCGACTCCTACGTTTGGCCAAAGCGGCCGGATCGTGCGGAGCACCTGCCTCCCTCACGCTCGCCGTCTTCCTGAGCTGCGGCGGCTGCAGCAATTGCGGTGACCTGGATGTCGAGGGAGGAGGATGGGGATTCGGGTGAGGTCTGGTGGCCACTACCTGGCCCATGTCAGAGGGTAAGGGATCTGGTGCCTGGTTGTGGACCGGCACCGACTGTTTGGCTAACTGTTAGCTCGACGAGAAGGACATCTTGTAGGAGGTGGTGTCCATGGGCGATTCAGGATTCAGGATCTCCGTCTGGGTCTGCTCCACGTCGCTGCAGCGCTCCTCCAGCACGGTGTCCAGCTCCAGGGACGTGAATCCTTGACTCAAGCTTCGTTCAGGACGTAGACTGATAGCTCGCGACGATCGGTAATCTATGGAACAGAATATGAATCGATTAGCCACAAAAGGATACTACAAGGATCTGTCAAGGATGACAGGATGAACTATGACGTAGCAGGTGACTATGATGGGTGAAGTATTCGATTGTTGAAGGCGAGAAATTGAAAACGTGCCACAAGTTGAAAGAAAATAGAAGAAAAATGGAAATCAAGGATATGCCACAAGGTGCCAGAAGAGAAGTGCAAGTGCTACGATAGGGATACGAAAAGGACTAAGGTCTTAGTTTCTATTATAATCTGAAATTTTAGTCTGAATCTGAATTTTAATCTGAATTTTAGGACTTAAAGTTAGTCCCTTTTAGTCCTTAAATTTTAAAAAATTAATTTCTAAAAATGTATGTAAATTTTATTTTTTTTTGTAATATCTTATATATTAATATTCCTTTCCCTTTATCCTTTGTGAGCTTTTTAAGGCAACTGTCTTCTTGTTGTTTCCTTGTTTTCGGGGCCAAGGAGCGACAGTTTGCGGTTGGAGGCCTTTGTTTTTTGTCACCCTCGTCATTGTCGCTTTTTTAATGTACAGTGAGAGAAAAAACATAACCTAATCAAACCTAATTTTATAACAAATATTATTTCTTAGAAAATAGTTTATAGTCTTTAAAATTTAGAAAAAAAATCGTATATATATTTTAATATATTCATTTATATTTCTCTCTCCCATTTCTCGCCGTGTAGTCTTCTTCTTTTTGGGAGCTGAAGTGGCGCTTGGAATATGAAATTTACAGTTATGTGCGAGCTAGTGTGCGTGCGTGCAGAAAGCAATGAAATCCTCACACGACAGCGCGGGTTAGTGGACTTGTCAGCTACCACAGAGCTAGGGGGGTGGGGGGAGGTAGCGTGCCGCATTGCTAAAAAGGCGAGCTTTTCCTAGTTTCCCCCCTTCTTCTTTTTTTCTTGTTTTTGTAGCTTCCTTGCTCCGCTTGGCCCATTTTTTGTGTTTTTTTCGTGCGCTGCGATATGCAAACGAGGGCAACGAGCGCCCAAAGGTATGCAATGCAAATGCAGCTGCCACCACTCCCCCCCACACATACACAATGACAAACACATGTAAAACAGCTCACACCCACGCATCCTTTGGGTGGGCTGGTGTGCGTGTGCTCCGCTTTATTGAGTGGCTGGCAACAGTCGTCTCCATGTTTTCTTTTTTTTTTTTTTTGCTTTTTTTTGGAAGCGGACTGTTGCCGCTTTCCTATCGTTTTGCTTTCACTCGCTGCCACAATGCCAGGTGGCACAGTGGCACAGGATGTGGCACTTGGAAAAAAAATGTTAATATGGGAAACCTAAGACTTGGTTAATTATTTTCCTAATATTTTTAAAATCACTTTTCAGCAATAATCCCCGATAACGAAAAGGTACTTTGTTTCCCGATCGGATATATATTGGTCGAGCTATGAACATCGGAAGGACGAAAAGTGGAATTTTCAGAAATCCATCATTTTCATAGGGGGACCCCTTGAAAAAATTCGAAAATTTTTAAAATCAATTTTTAGCAATTCTTTGGATGAGGAAACGCGGTATTATAATCCCCGATTACAGAATGGTACTTTGTTTCCCGATCGGATATATATTGGCCGAGCTATGAACATCGGAAGGACGAAAAGTGAAAAAATTCAGAAATCCACCATTTTCATAGGGGGACCCCTTGAAAAAATTCGAAAATTTTTAAAAACAATTTTCAGCAATTCTTTGGATGAGGAAATGTGGCATTATAATCCCCGATTACAGAATGGTACTTTGTTTCCCGATCAGATATATATTGGCCGAGCTATGAACATCGGAAGGAGGAAAAGTGGAAAAATTCAAAAATCCACCATTTTCATAGGGGGACCCCTTGAAAAAATTCGAAAATTTTTAAAATCAATTTTCAGCAATTCTTTGGACGAGGAAACACGGTATTATAATCCCCGATTACAGAATGGTACTTTGTTTCCCGATCGGATATATATTGGCCGAGCTATGAACATCGGAAGGAGGAAAAGTGGAAAAATTCAGAAATCCACCATTTTCATAGGGGGACCCCTTGAAAAAATTCGAAAATTTTTAAAATCAATTTTTAGCAATTCTTTGGATGAGGAAACACGGCATTATAATCACCGATTACAGAATGGTACTTTGTTTCCCGATCGGATATATATTGGCCGAGCTATGAACATCGGAAGGAGGAAAAGTACCAAATTTTTTAAACTTTTAAAATTCGTATTTATTTTTTTATTAAAAACTAAAATGGCCATCCGATTTGTCTGATTGTGGCTTCTGGGCACCCCTTTCAGGGCTAATGTGGCGCTCAGTAGGAATTCGTAATTGATTCTGCACTGGACTGGCAACATTGCGATTGTCAATGCCGGTCTGGTGGCCCAGGTAAGTGGGCAAGGGGGCGTACCTGCAAAGGGGGGCCAGGTTGATAAAGGGGGGCGGCACAGGAAAGTAGTACAAGGACGTGGGGGCACAGACCATTTCGGCCATGCGGGCTCTGGGAAACGTACACAATGATTATGATGTTGATGATGCGTTGGACTTTTTATTATCTGTCGTGTCTGTGTTTTTTCACTTTTTAGGTTTTTTATTTCGTTTTTTGTTTATTTTTTTGTATTTTTTGTTTGGGAATTTAAAATTCCGTTATGCAGGCGAAAAGGAGAACAATGGCGGATCGGCGGCAGACATGTTATATAGTAATTCTATATGGCTACGGCATGGCAAACATCAAGAGGATAAATGGCTCGGAAAAGAAGGCTAAAAAGAGTGCAGATTCCAGAGTGCTTGATGCAAAAATTTCAAAAAATAAAAAAAGGCAAAAAAACGAGTGAAAAAAAAGTGAATGAATCAAGGATGGATTAAAAGGATTGAATGGATGGTCGAATGGGATGGATTGGATGGATTGCATGGAAAAGTATGGATGGGATGGTATGTACGGAATGGATATGGCTGGTGGACTTATTGCTTTGACTCTGTTCGTGAAAATGCGGACAAGTCATTCGATCGGCGATGGGCTGCTAGCCAGTTAACCGGATAAAGCCCACAGGATATAACCAGAAAAGAATGGAGAGCGACACAATAAAAAAAAGAAGAGAAAAGGAAGAAAAAACGTTCGTACACACATTACACGACAAACATTCAAACTCACTAAGCCTATGTATTGGACTAAATCTGACCAGGCTGACGGCATGGTCCTGCATATCGTAGTTCCTTCGTCGGTCCCGTTCCCGTGCTAGCTTGGCCCTTCGCCGGAGGCAGCAGATCACGATCAGGGCCAGGATGGGGAAGCCGAAGATGCAGGAGACGATCGGTATGACGATCGATTCAGGAGAAACTGTAAGTAGACATATTTTTGCTATTAGTAATTGGATAATATAAGGTTGTCAAATATCTCCCTTCCGCTTTTTTGCTCTTTATTCAATGCTTTATAAAAAGTGTTACAGTGATCCGATTTAGTTGAAATATGCGCCGTTTTGTTCGATAATCCGTTTCCATCTAGACGGCAACTTCATAATACCTCCCTCGTAGAAGCCCCCCTCCTTATTTGCGAAGAACTCGGACAGCCACTTTTCACAAGCCTCTTTTGAGTTCAACTTTACACCACCAAGGGCGTTCGTCATGGACAGGAACAGGTGGTAATCACTTGGCGCTATGTCCGGGCTATATGGTGGATGCGATAAAACCTCCCATCCGAGCTCCCGTAGCTTCTGACGAGTCATCAACGAAGTGTGTGGTCTGGCGTTGTCCTGGTGGAACACTACACCCTTCCTGTTGGCCAATTCTGGACGCTTCTGGTCGATCGCCTGCTTCAAGCGGTCCAATTGTTCGCAGTAGATGGTAGAATTAAGCGTCTGGCCATATGGGAGCAGCTCATAGTGGATGATTCCCTTCCAATCCCACCAAACACACAGCAAAACCTTCCTGGCCGTCAATCCCGGCTTGGCCACTGTTTGGGACGATTCACCGGCCTTCGACCACGACCGTTTTCGTTTGATATTGTCGTATGTGATCCATTTTTCGTCGCCAGTCACCATCCGCTTCAAGAATGGGTCGAGTTCGTTCCGTTTCCGCAGCATATCGCAGGCGTTGATTCGGTCCACAAGGTTTTTTTGCGTCAAATCATGCGGCACCCAAACATCAAGCTTTTTTTGTATCCAGCCTTCTGCAGAGGGTTTAAAATGGGTTGGGGACTAACTCCCATCTCCTGGGCGATGTCACGAGAAGCCACATGCCGGTCTAACTCGATGTATTCCATGATTTGATCGGTATTTGTCGTCACAGGTCTTCCGCCGGCTGGCTTATCCATGGTGTCGTTTTCACCGGCTCTGAATCGTCGAAACCATTCCTCCGCGGTTCGAAGTGATAGAGTACCATCCCCCAAAACCCCATTAATCTCACGGAACGTTTCTCTAGCGGATTTGCCTTTAACGAAGGAAAACTTTAAAATAGCGCGAATTTCGGCGTTAGTGAACTCCATGTTTACACGTCTATAACTGGTGAACGCAATATCCAAACTAATCATGCATAGCGTCGTTTTGTAGGTTATGTCAAGACCTTTTAAATTATGTATAGTGTTGCCAGATACGAGCTCTGTAGCGCTTTGTACATAGCCGCGAAATTCAAAAGACAAAAAGGCGGAAGGGAGATATTTGACAACCTTATATATGTATTTGGGATTATATATAATAGGATATAGAAAGATAATGGGGTAAAATAGGGGTATAATAATAGGCTTTTATATGAAGAGCCTTCTTACAAGCTTTCAGAGCTTTAAGATTCAAGCTTAATAATATTTAAAGCTATATGATACCCGGTACTATTTCTTAAGAATGACTAAGGCCTTGAAGAGTATTAATTTAATATTAATTTAATAATAAGTATTAATTTTCCAAAAAAGTATTAAATCTATATGATACCCAGTACTATTTAGACCCTATCCCCTCACTTCAACTTCCTTTAAACTTTCCCTTAATACTTTTTAAACTTAAACTGTTGAAGAAACCTTGAGAAATAATGAAGAAAACAATAACCCGGTTAGTGGTCGTAAAACCAACGCGTCCTTAAGAAAACCGACACATCAACTGTGAAGCATAAAAATCACTCTAAAATTCGTACTAAAAATAAATGCAGGAAAAGCGCATAAAAATAGTAATGAAACGATTTTCTCCCAAGCACTCAAATGTGTGAGATACACTTGAACCACACAAAAAAAAAGAAAAATGATTAAATCTTTTCGGGAAAAGTAATTGAAAACTTTCCTAAAGACAAGTCATAATCTGGGCCTGACCTTTTCCCCAGATTATCTCTCTTCCAGCTGACCCCAAGCTTTTATTTATGGACAATCTTTTGGGTCTTCTTATCGCGTAAACCCGCTGCCTGTGTGACCTTGCCCCCTGGTTTGGTGCCCTGAAAAAATGTTCATGCCAAATGTTGCATGAATGTTAATCGCCTCGATTTTGGTCTGTCAACGCGCCGGCGGCCGCATTCCTGGCGGCTACTCGTTGTACATATTTGCCTAATTGCTGTGGTCAGGACTCCAGGGGGGAGCAGCAGGATTATTTATTTATATGTTTATTTTATCACAATAAACCGACTGCTGGCAGAGCTCATAATTCCGGAGCTCATCTCTGGTTCATTTGCATGGCCTCGAATTCGCCCCCCCAAATGTAGGCAACACTTTATCTACACAGACGAATGGATGGAGGGAGGAGGGGGTGGAGCAGTGAGCAGGGAGAGGGAATAAGAATAAGGCCAAAAAGGCTTTGGGCCGCATTCCGTTCGCGCCATTTGCATTTCCCTTCGTTCACAATTCGTTTGGCTTTTTAATTTCGGCTTTTAGTCATGAACCTCGAAGGCAAGTCTACTCCTTTAGCCTTTCAGATTAACCCTTGGGGTTTTGGAAGGTTGATATTTAATTTATTTTAAATTAAAATATAACATAAAGTTTCTTTAAATTAGTATTGAACTTTAAATCATTCCTTATCTTCAAATTCATTATTTCTTTTAACTTTAAATCATAATTTTCTTAAACCTCAAAGATATTCTTTTAAATAGGAGTATATTTTTATTTAATATTTATTTTTTATTTGAAGCATAAACCATTCTGTAATTAATAATTTAACTTGTCTTCTACCAAACCCCCTTGCTCATGTCAAGGGTTAAACAAAGCCAACCAAAGCTCGCCGAGCAGTGCGATTTATTCGGCGGGCGGGTTCCGTGGTTTCAATTTGTCGTTTTGCATATCTAGTCGGGATCAGGACAACCTGGCGAGCTGCTTATAAAGGAGACTAGTGGCCCTGCTTTTCTTTTGGCCTTTGCCGACCTAATTTGGCATCCTCCCAAGCCACCCACTCATACATTACAGCCCGAAAAACCCCACAAACCAACCACCCGCCCTCCAAGGGAAACGGATGCTCTAATCTAAGCCACAAAATCCATGGCCCAAATTGTGTTTTTTAACCAAAAAAGTAGCTAAAAGAAAAGTTAAAAAAAATAAATATATAGAAATTAAGTTAAAACTTCAATACTTTAAACTAATTTAAAATAAAAAGCTTTAAGAAAGTAACCATTTTACTTTTCAATTTTCTTTTGAAAAATTTGCTTAAAATACTCATAAATATTTATGCGCTGAAAACGAGCAATTTATCGACAAATTTGTTCCATTTGCTATCTTTGTGGATTCAGGATCTTGGCTGCTTATCCTTATCCTTCCTCCCAGCCCCCATCCTCCAATGACAGGATATCCAGTTTTTAGGAGTACTTGATGTTAAACCAACGACATCATTCGATTTAATTCAAGAGTTCGATCTGGGTTGCAGTCACAAAATATTTGCTCCCGGCGTTGTTACTGTTTTTTTTTTTTATTTTTTGTCCTCAACTGGAGGTCCTTTGGGGCAAAAGGACCTGCTCCAACCCTTGATGGGGAGGGGGTGAGACAGTGCCACTGAATCCAATTAACGCCTTCAAAGTGACAGTTCAAATTTACACAAATTGATGGCTAAAAGGGGGGAGTGAAGGGAAGGAGTGTTGGAAAGAAGGACTCGGCCTGGACTCTGGATTAGGGACTGCACAAGCGGAGGGGGGAGGCAATGGAGGCCGTTAGGAATCTGCCATTCAAGCTGAGTCATCAGGCATCGTTTGATGCTTGAAATATTCAATAAATACAATAAAAATAATGCTTCTTCGAGACTGAGACTGTGAGGTCTTTCAGACAAAAGCGCGAGTCCTGCCATCAGCCTTCTGCTCCTTCTGCTCACCCCTGGTTATCTGGGGTATATCCTGCCCTTGCCACGCCCATCGATGATGCCTTTCAATGGAAATTGAATGTTTGCATATTTGACGTCGACAGAGGAATGCGCTACAAAGGCATCACAAAAGCAGCATCAGCACAACAACAAAGGCCTCCATAGAAATGTATTCACTAAACACAGACATTTACATATATACAACTGCATATACATACATATATGTATATAATAATATATAGTATAGAGATATATAAAGTGACTTCTACATTTCGAAATATTCTCATCAAAAGTCCACCAGCGAGTTAAGTACGTAAATCAGGGGGTTTTCCTTTTCAAGATGGGGAGGGTTTGGGGTATGTCCTTCGAAGAACCTCAGGCATTTACCGGCAGGACGAGTTCACTTTACAAAATAGTTTCGATTAAATAGTGCCGCAAAGTTTCACTTTGGATTCGGGGGTCTCGGGGCAAGGACAATGCTAGTTCTCGGCCCGGATCAAAGTCAAAAATACTCGCATCCTGCTGCGGTTGACAGGACACAGATCAAAGTCAGGGTTTGTCAAATGAATAGAATTACATAATAAATAGATAGTTTGTGGTTGTAAGATGAATAAATAAATTTAATAAATAGGGTTTCATTTAAAAAAAATTGGTTTTAAAACTTTATTTAAGGCATATCCTCCTTTCTAGCCGTACACTATGCGACAGCGTCTCTCGCTAAAGTTTAAGTATTAAAGAATAAGTTCGTATCCTGTTTTTATTTTTTGTATTATTTTTTGTAGGGTAGTGGCATTCGAGTGCTCGAGTTAAGTAGAATGCATTGTTAACTTATCAATGGAGCTGAAGGATGAAGGACGAAGGACATCGCATTCCTGTTACACCATTTTATCGGATGAATTTACGCACTTTTTTGTTTGCCGGAATTGTAATGGCCGAGTTTTTTTTTGTTTTCTTATTATTTTTTTTTTATTTTTTTTTGGTGAAAAGTTCTTTTTTGTGTCAAGAGGGGTGGGGGGAGTGGATGGGTGGTTCGAACTCAAGTGCCACGCCCACAGGCCATTCAGGGCGCTGACATTGACGTCGTCGCTCCTCGATGTCGGAAAAGCCGATTGGAGTGGGTTTTCGGGTTTATTCTGAGAGGGGAGGGGGGAGTGGGTGTGGCAGGATGATTCTGATAAGGAGGCTGGCAAAGATTCGACAATGTTGTCAACATTTTTTTTTTTTTTTGGCAAGGATTTTTGGTGGGATGGAGGCTGGAGAGCAGCTCCCTTAATAAAGACGACAACCCAACAGCCTTTAAGGCTCTAATTTGTGAGCGGCTTGGGGCAGCGACTTTGGCGCCAGCTGTCTGTACTTTTACACTGAGAAAAGGTTATAGTTTATACTAGAGAATATTATAGAGGTTATAAATATATAATTATTTAACAGAAAACCAATCTAAAGAGTTTAAAAGGTTTGAGTATGATACCCGAAACCCGTTTAAAAAGGCTTAAATTCCTTCAAAACTCTACTTTCTCTTAACCTTATTAATCCCTAAATATCAAATGATTTTTCTAGATTTTTTTTCCAAGTGTATTTGAGAGAAATGTAGCCCCTGACAGGCAACGACACTTGCCCCAAAACAATCAACAGCTACAGTCGAGTGCGACTCTTTGCAATTACTGCGACTTAGACTTGTCTAATTGCTGCTACCCAACTCCAGGGCCAACTTTCTGATTCTGGAACTGTTTGTGACTCTCGGGCTATGATGCGGATGTGGATGTGGATGCGGATGAGGCAAACTTTCTCCAACCTAAAACTATAAAAAATAAGTTGAGGCGAAGCCATCGGAGTCGATGCGGATAATGAGGACTCGGGTGTCAGCTCATGCAAATTAACGCCAGCAACGAGGCAACTAATTGCCACCGAGTTTGCTAGATGGTACCAGGACTAGCAGATGGAGGAAGTTGCTGGGCCAGCGTCTGGAGGATTAGATTTTCAGGCACGCGACTTCGATGGGTGAGTGACTGCACTGATTTGATTATTGGAAAGACCCGGGGATGAATACAGACAGGCATCCTTACTGTCTGTCATTCAGTCACTAATTCACTTATTCACTCGTTCATTGAGTCGACAAACCTTCCTAATTAACTTAGGCCAGTTAGGGAGTCTTTTAATAAAAGTAAAGTGACTTAGGCCTGGCCTGACAACTGCCCCAAAATGGTGATAATTATTTTTCTTTTTTATTTTGGTTTTGTGAGCTTATCATTCAAGTCCCGTATGTACTCTCACTTTAATTGAATTTTCTACTAATTGGAATGCATAGTTAACAAATGTCATCGTTTGTGTAAAGTTTTGGGAAACACACAAAACCCACACTTGACACACGTTGAAGGAATTTGAAATTCATAAACATGTCAGAGACTGTCAGAGGCTTTAAGTTTGTATAATTAGTGGGATTTAATGAAAGACACACAGACAAGTGTTATGTCAAATGTGAAAGGAATTCCTGAAACTTTCCTGAATGCCACTTGATGGTGGAAATGTAAAATAAATAAACAATAGATGCCATGGTAATTGGAAGTTGTTGAAGGCCAGGTGTGTATCATTTTACAAATTTAATTCCTTCGTTATTCCTTTTAAGACTTTCTTAGTTTTGTTTCTTGCTTTTTAAGTTCAAGCTTTAGTTGGAATAAGTAAGAACTATTGAAATATTCCAGGTTTTTAAATGCAACCTTGTCACGGTCGCCAAGTCGCCAGCAACGAGAAGCCAAACTAACGAGTAACTAGTAACTCGTTAAAGTCTTATAAACATAAATACTATTTATTTTTTTAATTTTTCATTATAGGTACCTTCAAGGACTACTCACCCGTTGGATAAAGGACTATAGTCGTTGGGCGATTCTTGCCTCCAGTGGCCGAAATGAAGGTGGCCACTGTCTGGGCCTGAAACGTGGTGGCCGGTAGAGTCGGCAACGTGGGCAGGGCGCTGCTCAGCACCGATCGGGCTGCCGTCGTCGAGGACTCGATGAAACCACTGAGATTGCCCGCGGTGGGCATGGCTCCGCTTAGAGCACTGTACACATCCTCCACCCGATCAGCCACCCGGTCCGTTGCCAGAGAATTTGGAATGCTGGCAGGGCCACCCGTGGCATTAAATGCCATTAGCGGTGGTGGCGCCTCCAGGACATGCGGCAGGAGGTCTTCTGCCGCCTCGGCTCCACTCACCGTCCCAACCGCCGGATGCGGTGTGGTGTGATCGATGTGCTGGCCCCGGGTCACGTCCGCAGCGTCGAGGGCCTGAAGCAGCAGAGCGGGCAGGGGCAGAGGCAGGCTGGGTGCGTGCTGGGCGGGATATGAGCGGGCCACGGCTGTCACGGTCGCCAGGGTGCGATTGAGGAGGGTGCGCACGTTGCCGGTGGTGGCCTGGAGTAGTTTAACCGTTAGATTACCGCCACTGGTTGGCACTTCCTGGCTGGTCTCCGGACGAATCCCGACGGATTGCTTATTAATGTCCTCCTCCTTTGTCCACGGAGCACTCTCGGTTTCGGATTCGGTTTCAGTTTCAGTGTCAGCGTCGGTTTCTGTTCCGTTTCCTGTTGCGGTCATATTGTTTAATAATTTTGCAGCATAATCGTAAATTTCAATGAGCATTTGGCTGTCTCTATTCCGTCTGCAAGAAAAGTATGTTTTTTTTTGTATGTACTGCGGCCGAGTCCTGCATCCTAGCTACAGGATACTCTTCCCATGCTGGCCATGGACTGTCTGCTAATTGCTTTAATGAATCACTTTGCCAGCCGTAATGTGCGTGTGCTTTGTATGTGTGTGTTTGGGGCATGGTCAGGGGGCGGAGGATATGTGACCCAGCCCGGGGTTGAGCTACAAAAAGTTTCAGCAACCACGATTGATTGCGAGCGTGACCATCAATGAAGCATTTCCCCGCAACTCCTTTGTTAATGTCTCGGGACATTAAATCCTTGAATAGGATCGGGACATCTACTTAATAGCCTTGGCTATCCTTGCAAATGGCTCTTGGAATACACTCTGTATGTCTGCTTTTAAACCGAGTCTTCCCCAACAATTATCTTGATTATAAAACATATTTAATTTCCATTTCCTATTTTCACAAATAATATTTATTAATTCCCAGAGGATATATAATTCTTTATGATCTTGATTATTGTAATTGTTGGCAAAATATGTCTCTTTTAGGCTCGAAATTATGTAAGCAATTGATTCGGGAGGGGACAATCGGATCCTTGGACAGTCACACTCGAAATGGGCCAGAACCCCACATATTTGCCCAAAAAGCGAGCAACACTTGACCTCCCAAAATCCGTCCCAAGAGCACAAACATTTGGGCCATCAAGTGAGCAATCCAGAGAGGAGCTATAGCTCCAATGGCACTTGAAACCGAAGCCAACGAGGGCCATGTGGCATGGGGCATGTGGCATTTGGATGGTATAGGGCGGGGATGGCGATAGGACACTTTGGCGACAACAGGCCATAAAAATATGTTAACTATTGCATGGGGGTTGGTCGTGGACTAGCCTCATTACGCCAAATCGAATTGAATCGAAGTGAAGTACCATTCTCCTCCAAATCGACATCCTCTATGCTCCATATCCTTGTCCCAGGACAGGGTATCCCATTCCCATTCTCATCCCCACTTCTGTACCATTTTGTCACGAGGGAGCACAATTAAATGGAAAAGCACGATTCGTTTTAGGTACACTGGGAACTGTTTTTCGAAATGGTTGATAGAATATTTTATTTCAAAAATATTTTTCGAGGAAGACATGGGAAAATATTATTCATTTCGTTGGAACTTTATTTTAAAAGTTAAAGCTGATAAACTCCTGGCAGATATACCCAACAAGATAAAGGCTTTTGGGGACTAAATACTAATGCTTTTATGTTTAAAATATAATTTGAAAATATTTAACTAAAAACCGCTTCAAGATTTCCCAAAACCCCTCATTTTATTTCAAAAATCCCCCCCAAAAAAAATCTTCCTCTCTGTGTATAATCAAAAAAAACTAGTGTTTCGCGACAAGAAATCGACATGGGACTTGGGTTTTTGGTCTAATCTAGTATAGTTGTTTGGTGTTACATAGAAAATTACACTTACACGCACACCCAACACACACACAAACGCACCCCAAAAAAAAGCACGTCCTTTGTCCTTTTTCGCGCCCTACAGGGATAATGTCGTAGGTCGATTGTCCATTCAAAATTTAAAGCATACTTTTTGGCACTTTTTTTGGTTTTCCTATTTATTTTTAGATTTAGTTTAGTTTATTTTTGTTTTTAGTTAACAACACAGCAAAAGAATGAGTTAAAAAAATTTTGAAAACGATTGAAACGTTTTTTTTTGAAAAACAGGATCGCGCGGAATACCGTTGGATTTACGTACGACGTAGTCCCTTTCGTATTTTGAAAAGGGTCCTTTCCTTTTTGACTTTTGGAAACGACCGCCTCGCCGCCAATTCAAAATGAAACTGCGGCCATAGCGGCTGAACAACAGCTATTTATAAGAAACGGAAGGAAAGCCCACAAGGTGGAAGCTCTCTTAAAAGGCTCTCTTGCCATGACGACATGCGCTGTTCTAAGAGAAAATGTACCAATGTTTAATTATTTGAATATAATAAAATAAATCATGGAACATATTAATAAAAATTATTAAATTTAAGGCTTTGTTTTTAAAATTAAACTTAAACAATGTTTAACATAATGTTTTAAAGTTAAGACCCCAAAGAAAGAAAGTTAAGTTGGCAGAGCTGTTCTTAAAAATTAACAAAAATCGTTACTCCAAGTAGGCCTAGGACTCTCATATGTCATTCCATAATCAAGCAGGTCAGTAGCACCATAGAAAATTTTCATTCCCATTTGAACTTTACTCGAAGCAACACCTAAAATGAACAATAAAATACAAATACCTAATAAATATTTAAATATTTATTCAACACGTAAGTATAAATTTTGAAAAAATATTTATTTTTCTTTATTTAATTTCAATTTTTATTTATTTTATTTTTGTTCTAAATTATTTAATGAAAACAAGTTGTAAATACAAATTTATTAATTCTTTATAATATTTCTTTTTTTTTATTAGGAACTATCACGAAGGATGGATGTACGACAGCAAATAAACCACAGCCACGTTTATTGAATATCCCAATCATTCCAACTTGAACGAGACAAATCAACAAAATGCCGACCCAAGCACAATTCTATATATATATTTTTATAAACTATATTTTGTAATAAAATCTTACTTGAATTTAAAGTCTGTGATCTTTTTTAAGAGAAAATTCTACATGAGGGAGAATAATATTTTTGAAATTCCAGAGCATCGACTGGAAGGCATGAGGGGGCATTTTTCTCTTTCAAAACATTTCAGTGGAAATTCAAACAAATTTCTTTGTTTATCAAGCGTTTCGAAAAACAAACAAATAGAAATGCAATTTTCAGTTTTGGCAACAAAAGTGGAAATCTTTTTATTTATGTGCTAAGTGGCACGAAATAGATCAAATGGAACAAGTTTTTTTACAATTTTATGAATGTACATATATTAGCTATAGGGTAATTATATTCTACATGATAGCCCATGTACATGTTTTCATAAATTTATAAAAAAAAAGGTAGTTTTTATTTTTTATTTTTGCATTTTCCCCAAAGGTTTTCTTTGTTTTCTTTCTTTCTTTGCGAGGCTCTATTTATTCATAGATAGAAAAACGTATTGGTTTACCAAATAAACAAAAATATATAACGATTTCTGAACCACTCCAAGTATATTTTATATCGTATATATATATGTCCATGAACAAGCCTATTTTCCTTCTTGTTGGCCACTTTTGGTAATTTTTTTCTACGTTTTTTTTAAATAAAATTGTTTCAAATATTTTGAATGAAGTGGGTCATGCTCCCAAGTAGGCCATAGAACTCAACTTCACTTTCTAAATTGTAGAGCTAGGAGCTGAGCCCTGTAAAATATTCATTCCAAATCAGGCGCTACACCGAGAAGGTCATATTTACGTTTTTCAAAAATTAGTAAGGATTAATTTTAATAATTTTTGGTGATTGTTATTAGCTGGTAAGTGAAAATAAAAATTTAATTTCGATTGGTTAATATAATTTAGAAGTTATGCCAAAAAATGAATTTCGAATTAAATTTAGAACGAAATTTCCAGTATACATAGTTGGTTAGGTTTTTCAAAAACATCGAAACAAGTAGGCCATAGAACTAAACTTCACTTTCTTAATTGTAGAGCTAGGAGCTGAGCCCTGAAAAATATTCATTCTAAATCAGGCTTTACACAGAAACAGTCATACATATTTTTTCAAAAATTAGTAAGGACTAATTTAATAATTTTTGATGATTGTTATTATCTGGTGAGTGAAAATAAAAATTAATTTTCGATTGGTAAAAACAATTTGGAACTTATGTCAAATAGTGAATTTCGAATTTAATTTTATAAAAAAATTTTAAATATAATTTGGAAGTTGACTTTTAAATTATTATTATTTTTGATTTTTCAAAAACATCGAAACAAGTAGGCCATAGAACTAAACTTCACTTCCTAAATTGTAGAGCTAGGAGCTGATTCCTGAACTATTCATTGAACAACTAGAGCTGACAACGTTCACATCATATATTTTTAAAAATATATATATATTTTTAAATAATTGAATATTATTTCAACTTGTGATAATATTTAGTAATGCTCAGTATCGGGTGAGTGTAAATAAAAATTTAATTTCGATTGGTTAATATAATTTGGAACTTATGCCAAAAAGTGAATTTCGAATTTAATTTTGAACAAAATTTCCAGTATAGTTCGGTTCGATTTTTCAAAAATATCGAAACAAGTAGGCCATAGAACTAAACTTCACTTTCTGAATTATAGAGCTAGGAGCTGAGCCCTGAAAAATATTCATTTAAAATCAGGCTGCACACAGAAACAGTCATACATATTTTTTTCAAAAATTAGTAAATATTAATTTAATAATTTTTGGTGATTATTATTATCTGGTGAGTGAAAATAAAAATTTAATTTCGATTGGTTAATATAATTTGGAACTTATGCCAAAAAGTGAATTTCGAATTTAATTTTGAACAAAATTTCCAGTATAGTTCGGTTCGATTTTTCAAAAATATCGAAACAAGTAGGCCATAGAACTAAACTTCACTTTCTGAATTGTAGAGCTAGGAGCTGAGCCCTGAAAAATATTCATTTAAAATCAGGCTGCACACAGAAACAGTCATACATATTTTTTTCAAAAATTAGTAAATATTAATTTAATAATTTTTGGTGATTATTATTATCTGGTGAGTGAAAATAAAAATTTAGTTTCGATTGGTGAATATAATTTGTAACTTATGCCAAAAAGTGAATTTCGAATTTAATTTTATAAAAAAATTTTAAACATAATTTGGAAGTTGACTTTTAAATTATTATTTTTGAATTTTCAAAAATATCGAAAAAAGTAGGCCATAGAACTAAACTTCACTTTCTGAATTGTAGAGCTAGGAGCTGAGCCCTGAAAAATATTCATTCTTAATCAGGCTGCACACAGAAACAGTCATACATATTTTTTTCAAAAATTAGTAAATATTAATTTAATAATTTTTGGTGATTATTATTATCTGGTGAGTGAAAATAAAAATTTAGTTTCGATTGGTGAATATAATTTGTAACTTATGCCAAAAAGTGAATTTCGAATTTAATTTTATAAAAAAATTTTAAACATAATTTGGAAGTTGACTTTTAAATTATTATTTTTGAATTTTAAAAAATATCGAAAAAAGTAGGCCATAGAACTAAACTTCACTTTCTGAATTGTAGAGCTAGGAGCTGAGCCCTGAAAAATATTCATTCTTAATCAGGCTGTACACAGAAACAGTCATACATATTTTTTCAAAAATTAGTAAATATTAATTTAATAATTTTTGGTGATTATTATTCTCTGGTGAGTGAAAATAAAAATTTAATTTCGATTGGTGAATATAATTTGTAACTTATGCCAAAAAGTGAATTTCGAATTTAATTTTATAAAAAAATTTTAAATATAATTTGGAAGTTGACTTTTAAATAATTATTTTTGAATTTTAAAAAATATCGAAAAAAGTAGGCCTTAGAACTAAACTTCACTTTCTGAATTGTAGAGCTAGGAGCTGAGCCCTGAAAAATATTCATTCTTAATCAGGCTGTACACAGAAACAGTCATACATATTTTTTTCAAAAATTAGTAAATATTAATTTAATAATTTTTGGTGATTATTATTATCTGGTGAGTGAAAATAAAAATTTAGTTTCGATTGGTGAATATAATTTGTAACTTATGCCAAAAAGTGAATTTCGAATTCAATTTTATAAAAAAAAATTGTAAATATAATTTGGAAGTTGACCTTTAAATTATTTTTGAATTTTCAAAAATGTCAAAACAAGTAGGCCTTAGAACTAAACTTCACTTTCTAAATTGTAGAGCTAGGAGCTGATACCTGAAAAATATTCATTAAAAAACTAGCTCTGACATCGTCAAGATCATATATTTTTCCAAATAAAAATATATTTTTAAATAATTGAATATTTATTTCAACTTGTGATAATATTGAGTAATGCTCAGTATCGGGTGAGTGTAAATAAAAATAATTTTCGCCTCAATTATATCGTGAATTAAAAAAGTGAACAAAAGTGCGGTCTACAAATTACAATAACATTTCGAATTTAATTCTTACGTGCCATTTTCCGATCGAATCCGTCCGCTTTGGCTAAACAAATACGGGGAAAATTCCGGAAAAACTAAACTCAATACGGTGACTGATGTGTGACCTCGCCCTTACCATCTCCTCCCATCCGCGAGTTCTGTTTTTGGAATCAATCGAAATATCAATCAATCTGTATCCGTGCTCTTCCATGTGATTAAAACATAAGAATCAATGAAGCTAAAGTGAATAGAAAACAAAAAATTGAATTTAAATTTTCAAAATTTCAATTTCATTTTTGAATGCAATTAATTACAAAAATTCTAAAGGCGAAAACAAATCAATGACATAGCACAGCTGTGTGGCAAGTGTCAGATTGCAGGTTGCATGCGTTGCATCCACAAAATTTTACAAAATTTAATTGCATTTGTTTATGATTTAGAAGCCAACTGCTGGCATTGAAAGCATTTTAAAACAGTGCCTTTTGGGAGAGATTTGTGTTGAAGCAATTTATTTGTTCTACGATTTATAGAATAGAGAATAGAACACCGGGTAAAACAATGGCAATGACATGTCCTTTTTCGCCAGCAGAGAGATGCTTTTATTTTCATATTTTCCGAGCTCTGGGCTCCTCCTCCTGCCTGTCCACTCTCCAGTGGTACTTTCAGTATTTAAATTACCCACATGGGGTCGACCGAATCCTGTCTGGTCAGACAAACCAATTCAATTTCCATAATCCTTGTGCTGCTTTTTCGAGAGTGCATTCTATACCCCAAAAACAGTATAGCATCCTGCATCCTACATCCTGCATCCTGCAGGGGGTGTGGTTGTCTGTGTAGAAGAGTGGGTGGACTGTGCATATTGGTTTCGAGTGGATACACGTTTGAAGATAATGATTATTGGATTGTCGGCTTGTCAGCTTGGCTGTCAGAGATTGGCTGTTGCATTTAAAGGTCCTCACGTTGATTAGAAAGGACTCTCTGGGCTGGCAATTTGCTTTGTTTGCCTTTGACCCAAAAAGGTCATTCGATGAAAGCAAATCATTAATATTGCAATCCTTTTCCATTTTTCAGATACGACGAGCTTTAAGCCTATAGAGGATATTGTATTACTTACTGATTAGTGATTAACTTAAAAGGTAACTTTATTAGTCATCCTGCCTTTTCATTTAAAATAATAAGCTTATTAAATTGCAGATTGGATTGTTATTCTGAACGTGCTTAGGTAGATTTTTGTACTTTTTGTACAAAATATATTATATTGATTCAAAGGATTTGGTAAATATTTAAATATTGTCTTTGAAATAATTACTAATGTTATTTTTTACAGAAAATGGCCAAAAAAATTTTAATTATTCGCCATACCAAAGCGACTTTGGCTAGGATTAATAAATTCAAGAAACCTCAGGGGGAGCCCAATCCTCAGCCACCCCTAACAGCACGATCTTCGATTGAACGACCTATTACGGAACGCTCGCTTCCTCCAAGGTCTCTAACGGAACGATCGCTTCCTGGAAGAAAACTCACTGCTCGACCCCCTCTGTCTCAGAGCTCCTTGGTGATTCAGCCAAGGACTTCCAATTCTGTACCGACAGTCCCGCCCAAAAAACGCAATGCTCCAATTATTATTCAAACAAAATCTACCATTGGCCGGGCCAATCGGTTTAAGGCTCCAGAGCAGCCACCACAGAGGTCTCAATCAACCAATAATCGTGGAATGAGGCCGAGGATCATACAAGCTGATAAGATTCCGGTTACATCACAGTTGCTTCCAAAAATGAGTTCCTTGCGCTTAAATCTATCGGTTGGCAGCAATCTGTCGGTTGGCACCGAGAATTCGGAAGTGAAATCGCAATCAAAAAGGAGCAAGGAGCCTATAAAAGTTAGGCAGAATCGGTCATCTATAGTACGAGCAAATAGATTGAATTCTACTGAAGAGCAAGCTAGGGCTACAAGGAACGCTAGAAGGGGGTCACAGAGCCAACGTTCTCGTCGACAGAGAAGCCCAAGTCCGGAGGACGAACAAGTCGTCACCGTTAGTCCTCGATTAACGAGATCGTTAACTTATGACAAATTACCATCACGTCGGGCTGGCAATAAAATAATCGAAGAGGCTCTTCGAAGACTCCAAGAACCGGAAGCTCTGCCAGATACACCACGAGAGGAAAAAACGCCCAATAGGTACAATAAGATTCTGATTCTGATTATCTATAATACCCTCTATATCCCACAGTGAGGAAGGTGTTCCAGATACACCACGAGAGGAAGAGGCGATAAATAAGTACAAAAAGATTAATGATTTTCCAGATTCTGAATCTGATTATCTATAATACCCACTATATCCCACAGTAAGGAAGATAAAATGTCTATCCAGGAAGACCAGCAAGCTGTTCCAGATACACCACGAGAGGAAGAGGTGCCCAATAGGTACAAAAAGACTTTTCCAGGTTCTGAATCCGATTATCTATAACACCCTTTATATCCCACAGTGAAGAAGATACAATGGCTATCCAGGAAGACCAGGAAGCTGTTCCAGATGCACCACGAGAGGAAGAGGTGCCCAATAGGTACAAAAAGATTTATGATTTTCCAGATTCTGATTCTGATTATGAATAACACCCACTATATCCCACAGTGAGGAAGGAAGAGAGGAAGAGGCGATCACCGAAAAATATTTGGTGAGACGTTACACCGAATACCAAGAAACTTTTCCATATACTGAACGAGAGGGAGATGGGCCCAGTATTTCTGATTTCTTTGCCACGATAACCGAAAGTGAGAGAGAGAAAATTGAATCCTTCTTGAGGAGAATTCAATTAAGCCAATGGGAGGAAGCTGTTCCAGATGCATCAGAGGAAGAGCCGCCCAATAGGTACAAAAAGAACTATGATTTTTCCAGATTTTCCTGATTTCTAATCCTCGACATTCCACAGTGAGGATGATACCGATTTGATCGTTATCGATTTGAATGAACATCGGTTGCATAACAGGAATCCTGTCACAACGCCAGACGCTAACAACGCTGTATCCAAGCTCTCTGATAGCGATGACAAGCGTAATTGTCCTAAAAATGACGATAATTGTGAATTATTATGCGGCGAAAGCAGCGTGGAGCGTAATTGTTCCAAAGAGGCCGATAATTTTTTTTGTGAATCCTCAACCAGTGAAGTTACTGAAGAAGAATTTTCCAAGAAGAAGAATGATGATAACAGCTCAAATAGCAGCCCCTAAAATGCCCTAATAGGGTGCATACCAGGTATTATTCCCATTTAATACTTGTATCCTCCAACCCATACCTAACTCCTTCTTTTCTTTTCAATAGTTAATGTTAGTTTAATCAATTCTCAACCAGTGAAGTTAATGAATTTTCCAAGAACGATGATGATCAGAGCTGAAATACCAGCCTTTAAAATGCCCTAATAGGGTTTATTGTTTAATCAGGTATTATTTTCATATAATAATACTAATACTAATACATTTTATAACTCCTTCTTTTCTACCATAGTTAATCAAGGAGTTAATCAATTATTAATAGTTCAATCAGTTACAATACAAGGAACCCAATAGTGCGGTTTACCGTTAGGCTAGGTATTCTTATACCAGTCAGCAGTTATTATTCAAGAAGCCCAATAGCGTGGCTAACAATTAGACAAGGTATGTTCATACTAAACTCATATCCTTAAACCATACTTAATATATTCTCTTCTTAGATTTCAAAAAATTAGCAGTCAATACGCGGACAGCAGTCAGCAGTTATTATTCAAAAAGCCCAGTAGTGTGGCTAACAATTAGACAAGGTATATCTATACTATATTTATATCCTTAAACCATACTTAATATATTCTCTTCTTAGATTTCAAAAAATTAGCAGTCAATACGAGGACCCCAATAGAGGGATTTACCTTTAAGGCTAGATAGGCCTATACGATAAGTCATACAGGTTTTCCAAATTTCAATTTATAGTCAAGAATCTACTGAGTTAGGAGGACGCCAATAGTGTGGCTCGTGGCTAGGTATGCCCTTAAGATCCCCCCAACTAAAATTTCATGTTAACAAGCTACATTCCACATCTAATAAATCAAAATTACATTTGTTAATAAAAGATAGTTGTTTTTACTAAATAAACATTTTTGAAACGTTAACAATACTAGGTTTATAACTGGGATGGTAGACTCCGAAACGGAAAGGATATTGAATAAGGGTAGATTTCTAACTAAAGGACATTCTAAAAGGATATTTTCAACTTTTAGACCGCACTCAAGTTCAATTCAAGTTCTACTCAAAAGTATTTAAATTTCACTCAAAAGGACTTAAAATATTCACTCAGTACCAAAAGATGTCCTTTCGGAAATCCTTTCTTGAGCCTTTCAACAAAGCAATGACTTGAACCTGGTTTGTGGCTGTGCTTAACGGAATCTGGTATGATATCCTTTTTATCCCTGTTGATAAATTGTTATATATTTATAACAGTAAAAGAAATATAACGGAGCTTGAAAAAACTAACAGTAAAAGAAAAGGCTAGCTTTCCCCAAAACTTTTCAACAGGATGTCAAAGCTAGCGCCACCTGGGTGTGACGTTTGGAATATTTAAAAAATGTCAGCGCCCAAGAAGGAACTTAAGCCGCGCTTGGCTTTTAAGCTGTGGCGCCACAAAAGCTCTGATGGCGTTTCAAAAGTCTCGCTCGGGAAAAGCTGCCGGGTAATCGTTCCGGCCGTAGTTCGATTCGGGGTTTTCGTTCAAATGTTCTTCGTTTCCCGTTATCCGTTCTTCGGCGCCGGAGCTGGCAACGGACTCGTAGTCGACATTTAGGTGCGTAGTCGCGCGCAACTCTCGCGTCGAGCGGTCCTCGAAAGTCCAGTTACAAATATTGAAGGAGCTAACCAGCAAAACCAGTCATTTCTGTGTGCTTACGTTGCGTATATTTTTTTTTGTTGTAATTTTTTTTGTTATTGTTTTTTTTTTTTGTTAATTGTTGCGATTTTGAAATTGCAACGAGAGATGATGAGATAAGCGAGAGAGAGAGAGAGAGAGAGATAGAGAGAAAGTGAGGAGAGAGGCAGATAGAAAGCGAGCAGCGAAAGTGGAGGGGAGGGCGCGCACGTGCCCCAGGAATCCGCTATCGCTGTCGGCCGTATCGCAGCCATCGCCGCCGTCGTCGTCGCCGCCGCCGCCATTGCCGCCGCTGTCGTCGTCGCCGCCGCCATCGCAGTTGCTGCCGCCATCGCAGTCGGCAATTGTTGCACGCTGCTCCCATCGTGTTTCTTGTTTCTTTCTTGTTTGTTGTGTGATGCGTTTTCGTGTTTGCCGTTAAATATGTAATTCTTCTTCATCATCTTCTTCTTCTTCTTCTTGTTCTTGTTCTTCTTCTTACGATGTAAAAAAAAAAAAAAACTTACAACAACTGCAGTGTAAAGTGAAATGCGGAAAACGCGTTAAGAGCGACAGAGCGAGAGAGAAAGCGAGCGGGAGAGAAAGCGAGAAAGAGAAAGCGAGAAGAAGTAATCAAATGAAAAAAAAAAAATAGCGAAATTGAGGAAGAAATTAAGAATCAAGCAAAACACAGTACCACACAGAAGCGGTAAAAGCTAAAGAAGCGGCTAAGGAATATTACAACACTAAATATCCACCATAAAAGCAATAAAAAAAAAAAGCAACAACAGCAACAAAAGGTAATCACAAAGGGCGAATATTGTGTAATGAAGTTGAATTTCTTTTTCGGGGGCTCCCCCCCCCCAAAAAACAACAGAGAGAATAAGAATTAGAAGAAGCTCACACACACACACACACACACACCCATACATATATAGCTCACTAACTCAAGAAAAAGAAGGACCAGAAGCAAATGAGAAAGTAATACGCAAAGATGGAAAGGGGTGGTGATGGGAGAAAGAGAGCGGCATAAACATACTTCTAATTGTAATTGTTGTCTGCCGTTGTCGCTCCATCTGTCGCAGCAAGTGTGAAAGGGATAGAGCATGGCTGTGTTGGAGCGAAGTTTCCTTGCCAGAAGCAGTAAGGAGCAAAAGGACGTGCAGGGGGAGGAGCTGGAGGAGGCAAACGAAGTTAAATTTGCGTGCTGCCAGTCTGCCATTGTTGTTGTTGTTTTTGTTGTGTTGCTTGGAATGTGTGTCAGCCAAAAAAGAATGAAAACTCGTAGGCAGTTGTAGCAACAATAACAACAACAATAACAACACCAACACTAACACACTAACTTGCTGTGAATGCGCAATTATGTCAGCAACTAAATAGTATTAAAAAAAATAATAACTCCTAGCAACTGAAAACAATTGCTTGCTTTTCAAGTGCAGCACTTGCAACATACTAATACCAACAAGCTCACACACACACAGACCAAAACACACACACACTCTCACACGCACTTTGCTTTGCGGTTGCATAAGTGTCAACCGCAACACACGCGTTACAGTTTGACAGACATTTTGGTTTACTCGCAATAACAGGATTTATTGTCTTAGCGGTTAAATATTATATATTTTTTGTTTTTAAAATATAGTATATTTGATAATATTTATTTAAGTTATTTTATTTCTTTGATTTTATTCATTTTCTTGCCGTTTTTATGCTTTTTAAATTCTGTTGCCTACTTATTGGCATGTTTTGGTTGTTGAAGTAACTTGAGTGTTTTTAACATAAAAATATGTTTATTTTTAACAAAAAATGTAATTTATTTGTTAATTTGTATACTATTTTAAGTTTTTAGATTTTTATTCAAAGATTTAAGTAAGTTTTTATATTAAAATTAAGGATTTAAAAGCCCAATAAAAAGACTATTTTAATGTTTTGTTGTTTTTTGTCATTTTTTGGAAGCTTTTCTGTTCTTTTTCGAGAAAAAAAGGGGTTCACCCCTTTATTTTGAGGCACCTGTACCTGCTAGTGGGTGGCTTGGTGTTAGTTGACATCCACACAAGATTGATATTGATGCCCTTTACGCCCACGTACGCACACTCATACACACAAACACACACACACACAGTAAGAGTGACAGTAACAGACACAGCTACAGTGAGTCACACACAGCAACAGGAAGCGGGGAAGAACTACTTAAATATTTAAAGCAATTGCCGAGCCGAGCCAGGCCCGGATCCGGATTCCGGATGCAAGGGGAATGGGTGATAAAGACCCCGCCCCCTAAGTATGCAAACAATGCCAAATGGCAGAAACATAAACGTTGAGTAAATCTTTAGCAAGTTTTCCACACAATCCACAATCGCAGAAAGCGAGAAGAACGCAAAAAAATAAATAAATAAAATACAAAAAAAAAAGGCAAAATTTACAAGAAGAGCCCAACAATTTTGTCACGCATGTGTGGCTTTGAATATGTATATGTGTGTAAATGTGTCTGTGTGTGTGTGGGCCAAATGAAAAGAGCCAAAACATTAAAAATGTACCACCAACCACAACAAATACAACAAAACCAAAGCAAGTCCAAGCTGACGGGCGCCGCAATTTGCTGTTAACATAAAATAAATAAAAATAAGCAACAAACAAATACACACACCCACAATACACACCACACACACACACTGATTCAAACATCCTTTTTGGAAATCCTGCTGGCAGTTGACTTTCAATGCTCACTGTTCCCAATTTCACATTCCCGACCATTTTGTTCGACTTCTTTGAGGCGAAAATTTTCAATTTCACTTTCTGCATATTTAAGATGACAAATCGTAAACAAGATTCCCCAAATATATATTGAAAAAAAGTTAAAAAGACACTGAAAAAAAATTGAAACCTTAAACGGGTTTTTTAGGTATATGTGATAGGTATAGGTTCTTTATCCTTCTAAGCTAAAAACCAGGACCTAAATCCTTGACTTTGAACAAACTTCCTATTAATTTTATTATCAAACTTTTCTTGCAAATTTTTCTCTTATTTCACAAAACCTAATGAGGTATATGGGTATGTGTGTGTGTGAATGTCCTGCAGGACTATGTCAGAAATAATCAATCAAAACAGTAACAATAAACCCTTAAACAGATTTGCAAATTAATGTATAATCCTTGAGCGAAAAAATCAATTTGAATTTTTTCATCGTATTTTGTGTTGTTGGCTGGCAGGTGGAAAATTTCAATATTTGTTACCGGATTTCCATAAAATATGTGAATTTCCCATCCTCAGGCACTCGAGCTGGGGTCGTGCTTGCGGTTTTTTGTTTTTATCCTGATCCCTGACCTCTGACCCGCCGCAAATGTTTTATGTTTTGACATCCGTTGCCATTCGATTTGCCATTTTTTTTTTTTTGTGTTATTTTGGTGCCCCGTGACTTCCGTTTCCGTTTGGTGTTGCATTCGTCCTTCTCCCTCCATGATTCGTCCTTTTCCTAAATGCATTATCCTCCGCTCTTCCTCGGATACTGAGCTTCGGAAAAAGAATTTCAATGATTTATCAACCACTTTATATATTTTTTTCAAAGGAAATGATATATGGCTCATAAAAATATTGATAGTCTTTTTTTTTTTATGGATTTCAGCAATAAAGGATATGGTTTCAATTAAAAGAAGTAGGTAGTACTCCTGAATATATCCCATGTAGGAGTTATAATTTAATTTCCAGAATCTGAGATACATTCTTAGAAACTGGCATTTATTTGCGGTTGTTGTCAGTTGTTGGATGTAAGATGAGAGATCCTTGTGGCATGCCACTTGGCAGCTGCCTCTTTGGTATTTGATCTCTGCTGCTTGGAACCACCTGCTGACTGCCTGACTGCCTGCCTGGCTGCCGGATTGTGTGTCCTTGTCCTCGTTGACCTTGTGCGCTTGTGAGATCCTGAAAGGCTGTCGTATCAAAACAAGTTTATTAACATGCCACGCCTCCCGTTGGGCTATTTGCCAGGCAGGTGGCTAAGGGGGGAGAGACGGTAGAGGACAATTACATATGTAATATGTGGCCACAGTTTGACAGCCACTGAGCCACCGAGCCACTGTCTCTGGCGTCTTGTTGCCTGTTTTTGGCCATAAAATGTTAGCCAAAAAATCCAAAAACCAGCTGAAACCAAATGCTGAGAAGCCAAAGAAACCAGAGAAGCTGGAAAAACTCAAACTGGGAAACTGAAGAAGCTGGAAAAGCTGGAAAAAGCCAAAGCACGTGCGCAATATGTAAATTTATTTATTTCGCCGTTGTTGTTGCTGTTTTTTTTTCTCTGCCCAGTTTTTGGCTTTTTGGTTTCTGGTCTTTGGTCTTCTTGGCCCTTGTGCTTGATGTTGTTTTTATGTTAATGTCCTGGCCAAAATAATATATATATATGTATATCCCTGAGTGTGTGAGTGTGTATTGGTAAGTCCCTAAGCTGTTTGTATGCCAAGTTTGTACCGTTCTATCTGTTTCGGCCCTCTCATGTGCTTGCTCATTGCTTTTAATAGCCAACAACACGCCATGCATTAATTTATGAATTCCGTGCTGAACCACCACCCCCCTTCCAAGCTATACGGCCTTTCCGCCCACCCGGAAAGCTTTTAGCCAACAAGCCGCACAAATAATTAAAAAAAAAATGCAAGAAAGCAAGTCTACAAAAAAATCCAAAGACATTCAGTGATTCTCACGGCTAGAGGCTTAATAAATGATTACCTGTAGCTGTTAGATGTTAACTTTTTGCAGAGGGCTTTTAAGGACGTGATTTTGAAGAATAAATATTCAAGAAATGGCAGACAAAAATGGGATATATTTTAAGGACAAGGTAGTACTTAGTATTACGTTTTATAAAAGGACCTTAAAGAGAAAATATAAAGGAATATATGGGAGGTACTTTAAAGACAATATATAACTTATAAAGTTCTATTCTCTAAATTAGATTTATTTTCTCTAGAGTTTTTGTTAATTTTCTATACAAAACATACTTTAATAAATTATAAATATTATTAGATATTAATAGATGAAAGATATATAAAGGAAAATTAAAGGATGTACCCTAGATACTAGGTTATACTTACTGATAGAGTTTCCTCTGGGATTTATTCCATCTATACCATTTCTATACTAATGCATATACGATAATTATGATATTTATGGATATTATCCCTTTTTAAGGCTTTTTAAACATAATTCAATGGTATACCAAGTTTATACCAGATATAATATATCAGAAAAGTATGATTATAGTATAAGCTATATTTAAATACCTAGTATTTCTAACAAATCAACTTCCGTCCGGTTTTTTAAGCAGAAAACAATTTCAATAAAAACTAAAACTAGAAAACTATGAACTAAAAACCCACTTAATATTATTTTATATATTTCTCTATATATATTTTCATATATAAATCAAAATATATGAAAACCAAACTAAAGCCAAACAACAAAAGCTAGTTAAACATTTTCAAAAACAAATAGAAACAAGCAATAAAAATATTTGCAAGCTACGCAAATGTCTAACAATGGAATTCTGTTTATGTGTGTGTGTTTATACAAATAATTAAATTGAGTTTATTTGGAGAGCAACAACAAAAATGAAAGATAAACATGAAACGAATAAAAACATTTTCATTTCACTTGCAGGTAATAAAACAAGAGAAGAGAAACTCTTAATTTAAATTCATTTGGAGATCGTAGATGGGTCTGGTATGGGTCTGGGAGGCAGTCTGGGCAGGAATATTGAAATGGCTGCCAAGTCATAAACATTGAAATGACATTTCAAGTAAATTTATAACAA